CATTAATCCGAGTGTTTGGTTTGGCCACGAGCGACACACTTCCCGTCAAACCACCATCGTATACCACAATACGCAATTGGTGCATGGAAGCTTTCCACGCCATCGGCCTCGGCGACCACGCGCTCGGCACCCACTCCTTTCGCAAAGGAGCGGCAACTGTAGCGGCAAACGCATGAATTGAGGATCGGCTCTTCAAACAGCTAGGCCGATGGCGCAGTGAAGCGGCCAAGGAAATGTATGTCACCCCCACCGCCGACCGTCTGATTGACGCCTCTCGCAACCTCCAATCAACGGCTCATGCGCCATCACCAGCACAACATTCCAGGGCCCTCAAGCGCCGCCGTCACGCCCCCTTGCACATGTCTCAGCGTCACCCATTGTAATGAGAACGATGCCAATTGCTACAGAAGCAAGCTTTCTCAATATGAAAAATTTCTAAGCGTTTATCGCTTTCAAATTTGCGTATTGTGAAAGCGAAGCTGACTGTAATGCAATTTTGTGCATCGTCGAAGCGCGGTATTCGCCTTCTCCGAATATATAATGTGGGCTGGGGTCATTCTTCCCCCACCCACGTCTCTCATTTTACAATCGCTCAAGTTCAATTCCCACCCACCCTCCCCATGCTAGTCATCTTTTGAGAGTAGAAGAAGTTCTTAGATATTTTGGATGTGATAGTATATTATTATAATTGCTAGGAACCATTGTACTTGAGCCCATTGTAATGAGAACGATGCCAATTGCTACAGAAGCAAGCTTTCTCAATAATATACCATATAATAAGACCCGGGTATTATGTAGGATTTTCCTTTGAGGAGACCCCCCCCCATTTTTTCCCAGTGGTTTTCATAATACCCTAGGGTGTTTTATCCAGGAGAATACGGTAAGTGTCACACGCCAATTAAAAGCGCCAGGCGCTTATCCGAGGGTGGCACTTATATCCGGGGTGTGACGATAACGTACCGGCCTGGGGATTATGTGTAAAACACAAGATTACGACCGCGCTACTTTGGACCTTTCCAAATCAGCCACACGATCACCCACGTTACCACCCATATCCTGCTACTGACACACTGGTACACAAACCATCGTTCCACGCCAGTCTACTCCGACCATACGTCGCCACCACAAGCCAACTGCCACGCCATCCTCCGCCATCAGTGGCGCGTCCTATATCGGAGCAGATAGTCGTCCAGGAAAAAATTTTAGAGCCATCGGATTTTTCGCCGTGTACAGAAGCAGCCATTGTTCGTTTGTTACTGCTAACGGGCTTCGTCAACCTTCCCGCGCACTATTCTCCAAACCATGCACCGCTGGCCCGGCCGTGTTGGCCTACGCCTCGGGACTAGCCCCAACCTTCATGCCAGCTTCGCACTAGCTAGCTCGCATGCACCGCATAAGTGCTTGTTTCCGTATAATTATTCAGTCATGCCTTCATTCATAATTTTGTACTCACCTTAGTGCGATCGTACCTCATTCCATTGCATCCGTAACAGTCGCAAGACTGAACGGACAGTCGTTAGGCGGTCAGGCTGCCTTCTCCTTCGGCAGTTCCTAGGCTCTCTATGGCTCCATTCACCAATGCTGAAGCTCTTGAACCAGAAGTCCGACCGAACACGTGTAGCTCAGGAAAACGGTGTCGGCCCAAGTTCAGGGTGTCGGTAGCAACTAGTAGAAGCCCTCGCAACGCCACTGCAAACGCTTAGTTTTAAGTTCATTCAGTAAGGGAAGAGCGTCGGGACAGAAATATGGCTGCAAGTGTGTTGCTCGAAAGTAGGCATCGTCGTCGATGGTCTGTTCCCGTGATGCCCTTAGCTGCGTTTATTCTGGTTGCTTGTGCCAGCTGTTTCCTGACAACTAGGACACGTGGCGAGAGCTCGTTGGTGGGCCACGGTGAGCGTCCGTCGTTTCACACGAAGTTCCCGCGCAGGTGGCGGAGCGAAGCGCGCGTGGTAGAGGCGAATGTAGAGAATCAGACGCTGACGATTGGCGTGCTCACGGGGGAGGAGCTGGGGCAAGGCCCATCGTTCCGCTCAGGTGCGACACTCCTAGCGCGACATTCTTACTGTGCGACACTCCTGTTGCGACATTCTCACTGTGCGACACTCCTGGTGCCACATTCTCACTGTGCGACACACCTATTACCATGCGAAGTTCTCAACTTCCAAAGCTCTTACCATGGAACATTCTCACCTTGCGAGACTCTTAGTTACCATGCGTCACTTTCACTGTGCGGAACTCTTACCATGCGACATGCTCACCCTTCGAAACTCTTACCATGCGACTCTCACCGTGCGAAGCCTTTTTTACCATGCGACATTCTTATCGTGCAAAACTATCCTCTTGCGAATCTCACCGTGAAAAACTCTCTTTATGCTCTCAAAGTGCGACGCTTTCTCTCACCATTGCAAAGCACTCACTATGCAAAACTTTTTAAGAGGAACACTTGCCGAACTGAATGCGTGGGCGAGTTGGCTACGAAGCCTTATAAGCTTGTATATTAACTCCCAATCACATCTTTTGAGGCGTCTCAAAAGACGTCTCAAAACTCCCAGTCACATCTCGCCCACATTTCTGTTCAAAGAATCACCTGTATAAGATTTTTTGCACTACGCTTGCTAAATGAATTTTCTCTGGCAACACCTTGACCCGCAGTTATGGTCAACCTGGCGAATTACTCAAGGGCTACCAATTTCGCCAAGAGCTTTTCACAACTGCCGTGCTTCAATCACAGCAATTGGCTGCGCTCGCGGATGTGCCAGCAGCAAACCCCTCCTTTACGTTCCCTTATCTGCTGAGACTATTTTTGAGGCGCGTAAAAAAAAAAAAATTCCATGTTTCGTCTTCCCTCTCCGTTGCCCAATCACAGCCATCCGGCTGGCGTTCGAGGATGTTCAGGCAGACTCCTCCTTGACGTTCCCCTATCCGCTGAGGCTCTCTTTTGGTAACACGGGAAGCACCAGGTTCCAGGCACAAGCAGCAGGTGCTTGTTCTCCCTTGCAAGCCCATGCTCGCATGTCACAATCCATGCTTCCCGCACGTTAACAACGCACGAACGATCAAATGTCGTTTGCTCATTATCACATGGCACGAACTCACACTCGCAAGTCGCTAACCTCACCCTTTCCTGCCATGAACTCACGATCATATGTCAGAATCCAGCCCTTTTTGCTCCCAGAATTTCTATAGTCGGCTCAAAAGTAAACCTGGTTTTCCTGGTCCCACACCGCATCAGATCGCCAAACTTCACAACTTCTGAGGCACCTCAATATGCGTTTCCTTGGTCTCACATCCCATCGCATTGCGCCACACCACACCACACCACACCACACCACACCACACCACACCGCACCGCACCACACTGCACCGCACCGCACCACACCACGCCACGCCACACCACTCCACTCCACACCGCACCGCACCACATCACATCACTTCATGCACACAGCACTGCAGACGATGCTTGACGACGCGCTGCTGGTGCTGGGGCCTGAATACTCGTCCCAGGCTCACAGCATTATCGACCTGTGCCGCGACTACCAGGTACACTACACTACCTAATCCACAACAAGTACAGTAGTATTCTGCAGCACAATATGTATTAATCAGTACAGTACAGTACTGTACAATACAGTGTCCTCTTAGTGCTGGTGAAGTTACATGCTTTCTGGTAGCGCTGCGCCATCTCCCGCCCACCCGCCACCTCCTAGCCCCCCCGCCCGCCCTCCCCTGCGCCCCCCCTTCTGCTGGTACTGAGCTATTCACGGGACAGTTTCCCTTCTTCATTACCCATCCCCCCCCCCCGGTTCCCCCCTCCCCCCATCTCCCTCCCCCCACGTGCCGACTCTGAGCTTTTCAGCCACGGACCCCTCGTTATCGTCCAAGGGGCTGTTCCCCTTCTTCCAAGCAGGCTCCCCCCCGCTTCCGCTTCCCCAACCCTCCCCACTCCCCCCAGGTGCCGATGCTGAGCTTTTCAGCCACGGACCCCTCATTATCGTACAAGGGGCAATTTTCCTTCTTCCTGCGCCTCAGAAGCAGGCTCCCCCCGCTTCTGCTTCCCCACCCCTCCCCTCTCCTCCCTCCTTCCTCCCTCTGTCCTTCCCCCTCTTCCTCTCCCTCTCCCTCCTGTCTCCCTTCCCCACCCCTCTCCAGGTGCCGATGCTGAGCTTCTCGGCAACGGATCCCACACTGTCATCCAAAGGGCAGTTCCCCTACTTCGTGCGTCTGAGCCACAGCGACCAGATGGAGATGGAGGTGATAGCGGGTGAGTCATCATAGGCCTCACACAAGCGCTGCCGGGTGGGTGGGAGTTGAGGTGGTGGCCAGGGGATGACAAGGAGTGCTGGCCTGGCCTGGCCCTCACGTCAGTTCCCCTACTTCGTGCGTCTGAGCCACAGCGACCAGATGGAGATGGAGGTGATAGCGGGTGAGTCATCGTAGGCCAGGCTAGTTCTGCCCGGTGGGTGAGAGTTGAGGTGGTGGTGGTGGCCTGTGAGTGGCACGGGGTGCTGCCCCACACTGTCGTCCAAGTCAAGGGGCGGTTCCCCTACCTACGTCGTGCGCCCTACTGACTATACTGTCAGTCAACCAGCGAGCGACCAGATGGAGATGGAGGAGGTGGGGTGGCGGGTGAGTGAGTCGTCATCATATTCCCCACCCGGGGAATGCTTCCCGGTGGGTGCTGCCCGGCGGGTTAGAAGGTATATTCAGAGAGTCGACTTAAAAGTGTGCGTCTGAGCCACAGCGGCCAGATGGAGATGGAGGTGACAGCGGGTGAGTCATAGTCATAGTCCGCACAAGTGCTGCCTGGTGTAGTCCACACACACACAGAGACCTACTACAGTACTACCAGTGGCGCCAGACCATCATGATCTTGTATGACTCCTCTTTCCAGTACTACCCAACCTTCCGTTCTCACCCTCCCTGACCCACCGCCCCCTCGCCCCTCCCAATCCCCATCCCCCCTCCCCTTTTCCTCCCTGCCGTTCTCGTCCCCCACACAGACATACTGCAGTACTACCAGTGGCACCAGGCCATCATGATCTATTCAGACGATGAGTTTGGGCACAATGGCATAGACGCCCTCACAAACATCCTCATGGCTAAGGTTTGTTGTTCTTTCATGTACCACATGGCATGGTTGCGCTCACTAACATCCTCATGGCTAAGGTTGGTTGTTCTTTCATGTACCACATGGCATGGACGCGCTCACTAACATCTATGGAGATAACTCGTTCAACAGGAGCTTGACTACAGGGGAAGGCACGGTTGTGAGAGTGATCGTAATGTTCCTTAGCGTTTTCTAGCACTTGTGTATTCACGGGGTAAAACGACAAGCTTTTCAGTAGAGAAAGTTGTGAACAATGGTAGCAACAACATTCGCAAAGTTGACTACGTCAGATGCAAGTCCGCCTAGCGCACAGGCAGGTCGACCTCCAGTGCAGCATGGTCGACCGAGTTCCAGCGCAGCAGAGTCTGGACAGCTCCAGTGCTGCAGAAAGGCGACTGCACAGCGTTGCACCCGCATGACAGCAGCGCACCCGCTTCGCAGGTGCTTGCAGTTGGTTGGCATGCTGTGCCCCGTCACGTAGATGCCTAGTCGGCCACGACTTCCGACTCCGAGGTTGGATTCGCCAGAACCACCTAGGCGACTATCTCGCACCTCCGCAGAACCCTGTTGCCCGGGTAACTTGGTCGACCTGACAACCATGTCGACAAAGCGCTGATCCTCGTGCACGTCGACCGTCGGGATCGACGACCACCTTCCCCCGACTTCACGAAGTCAGCTACTCCCCCAGGTCGACCACTTTTGGCCGACCAGGTTTGTTGGACGCCGACCACACCAAGCCGGCTTCCCCAAGTTGGCACTATAAAGTCGGTGCTCTCCCAGCTCGGCGCCACCACGACGCCTCTCAGATCGGCACCACCAAGTCGGCGCCCTAGGTCGACCTCGCCAGGTCGACCTCCCGAAGTCGGCGCCCTCCAAGTCGGCGCCCTCCAAGTCGGCGCCCTTCCCAGGTCGACGAGCCCCGTCGTCGACCATCGGTAGAAATCGGCCGACAGCTTCCCAAAGTCGGCGGTTGTGCAGTGGCCCTGTGCAGGTCGACCAAACTTGTCGACCAGCTCGCCTAAGTCGGCGTCGCCCACAGCTGCTATTCGGCTGCACCTCCCGTTCACCCGAGCACGAAGTCGGCTCCGCCCAAGAAAGGACGGGGCCAACACACAACTCCCGTTGACAACATCCTGAAGGTCAAGGTTGGTTTCACATGACATAATAGTATGTATGGCATGGCATGACATGGTGTGGTGGTATGTATGGCATGGCATGCCATGGTATGGTAGTATGTATAGCATGGCATGGCATGGCATGGTATGGTAGTATGTATGCATGGCATGGTATGTAGTATGTATGGCATGGCATGGTATGGTAGTATGTATGGCATGGCATGGCATGGTATGGCATGGTATGGTTTGCTTTTGGGCGCAATGGCATGGACGTGCTCACCAACATGCTCATGGCTAAGGTACCACGACGGTGCTGGGTCGCATGGTATGCGACACTTGAGTGACATGCAATACTTGCCCTCATCGCTGCTCCACACACTGCCAGTCGCACCAGCTACAATGCTCCAACAAGGTGCCTCTGAGCCTTTTGAGTCCGCATGCTCCCTTCCCTCTCTATCCCATTCTCACACACTGCCCATCGCTGCCCCATCTCTTCCTCCGCCCCTACCCCCCTCTCTTTTGCTCCGCACACTGCCAGTGGCTGCAGCTGCCTGCCGCTGTCCCCCTAAACTCTGGACCCGCGCACATCCCTCCGTCACTATCCCATTCTCGCACACTGCCCATCCTTACCCCATCCCCGCCCCATCCTTGTCCCGCCATCCCTGCAAAATCCTTGCCCTATCCCTGCACCCATCCCCGCCCCCATCCCCCCCCCATCCCAGCCCCCACATCCACCAGTCGCAGCAGCTGCCGCTGCAGTTCTCCAACAAGGTCGCTCTGGATCCGCGTGCATCCCTCCTTTCTTACCCTTTTACTTTCGCCTTACCCACTCCCTGCCTCACACTGCCAGTCGCAGCAGCTGCCGCTGCAGTTCTCCAACAAGGTAGCTCTGGACCCGCGGGCCACCAATGAAGAGATAACGCAGCTGCTGCGCGCCATGCAGTCCTCCGAGACCTCCGTCTTCGTCGTCCACGTCGCCTCCTCCAACGTGCTCTTCCTCCTGGACGAAGGTACACATTTGTGTACGGCTCGGCTCTCGAGAGACAAAACATGACTCACAACTCACGGCGAGCATGCGGTATTGTTTAGTCGACTCAAAAATGGGCGAACATGCAGTCCTCCGGGACCTCTGTCTTGGTCGTCCACGTCGCCTCCTCCAACGTGCTCTTCCTTCTGACGAAGGTACGCATGTATGTTGGCCTCTGGAGGGACTAGCTCTGAGTCACGACTCAGAGCCAACATACAGACCTCGAGTCTCTTCTTGAGTACTTGGTCGTCCACGTCGCCTCCTCCAACATCCTCTCCCTCCTTGACGAAGGCACGCCTTGGTTTCGAGCACGACCAGCTAGGGATGAGCAAGGGGCGAACACGAACATGTTCGTGTTCGCCCCTACACGAACACATCCGTTTGCCAAACCGAACACTGTTCGGTTCGGCGAACACTTTAACCAAAAACAGGTGTTCGCCGTTCGCCTGTGAAGGCGTGTTCGGGTGAACCTCGAACACGTTCGTGTTCGGGCGAACCTCGAACACGTTCGTGTTCGTCACGGGGCAAATTGCAGCAGCTGCCCGAACACGAACGTGTTCGGGCGAACCTCGAACACTGTTTGGCGAACACTTTAAGCGAAAAAACAAACCTGTTCGGTTCGCCCCTTGTGCTCATGTCTACGACCAGCCATCATGTCTACGACCAGCCATCATGTCTACGACCAGCCATCATGTCTACGACCAGCCATCATGTCTACGACCAGCCATCGACCCCCATGCTATGCGCTTCAGTAAAATGCCTCTTCCTTTTTTTTTTTCGGGGGGGGGGAGGTGGGGTAATTCCCTTTCACGGGTTCGTCCTAGATTTGAGCAAAAGGTGTGATATGGACTAGAAAAGCATCTCGATCCAAGAGGCGGCTCCCATCCCATCCAAATTCTGCCTAGTTTTGAGTCGACTCATGATATACCTAATGGCGCATTAGCCAGCTTCCTCCCCTCTCCCCTCGCGTTTCTCCCCGGTTGCAGCGCAGCGCATGGGGCTGATGAGCGAGGGGTACGTGCGGATATCTACCGAGGCTGTCATTTCCCGCCCACCTCCCTTGCCATTTTTGAACCAACCCCCCTCTTCTCGCCCACCTTCCTCCCCTGTTCCCCCTGCGTTTCTCCTGGCTGCAGCGCAGCGCATGGGGCTGATGAGTGAGGGGTACGTGTGGATATCCACCGAGGGAGCTATCTCCCTTCTCATGGGCGCTAACATGAACTCCACCTACCTCAGCTCTCTCACTGTACGTAGCGCCAATGATTTTTGAGACATCGCAGAAATGGATATCCATGGAGGCGCTATGGTATCTCCCTCCGCATGGGCGCCAACATGAACTCCACCTACCTCAGCTCTCTCGCTGTATGTCGTGATCGATATATAACAGTCGTTGGCAGTCAAGGCTAGTGTCCTAATGCTCTCACTGTAAGTGTGTGTGTAGCAAACAATCTCACTGTATGAATGTAGCAGTCAATGTGTGGCAGTCAATGCGTAGCAACCACGGCTAGCAGCCTAGTGCTCTCACTGTGAGTGAGTGTGTAGCAAACAACACTCCGTGCATGGACGGGCTGTGTTGTAATCACTTTTGAGAATTCCCAAAAGCGTATTGAAAGCTCCACCTACCTCGGCACTCGCCGCTCCAACCCACCCTCCCTCTCCCCCTGTGAGCATGCACCAGGGCATGGTGGGCACACGAGTGGCCATTCGGGACAACCCGCGCTTGCTGGAGTTCAAGAGGCGATGGAAGAACCTCGACACCGTCAAGTACCCCGGCTCTGGCACTGACACTGTACGTGCGTTCGAGGAACCGACACTGTACGTGCGTTCGAGGAACCGACACTGTACGTGCTTTCGAGGAACCGACACTGTACGTGCGTTCGAGGAACCGACAGGGCCTCGACATCGTCAAGTACCCCGGCTCTGGCACTCACACGGTACGTAGTCTGACACTGCATGGCGTTTTTAGAGTGATAAAAAGCACGGTATGTAGTCTGTTTTGGCACCGACACGGTATGTAATATGTTTGGCACCGACACAGTATGTAGTCTGGCCCTCCTCCTCCTCCTCCTCCTCCTCCTCCTCCTCCTCCTCCTCCTCCTCCTCCTCCTCCTCCTCCTCCTCCTCCTCCTCCTCCTCCTCCTCCTCCTCCTCCTCCTCCTCCTCCTCCTCCTCCTCCACCTGCCAAAATCCAGCACAGTCATCAACCACAGTAACCGTTTCAGCCCCGCCTCATACCTATCCTATCCCTGTCGCCTCCCATCGCCAGGTCTCCCCCCTACTCACTGTTTGCCTACGATGCCCTCTGGGTGGCAGCCCGAGCCCTGCACACCCTCTCCCATCTGCCAGGCGCCAGCTTTCCCAGCCACAGTAACCACCATAGTCCCCAGCCACAATAACCACCATAATCCCCAGCTACAGTACCCTATCTGCCTCGATCTTTTGCCTCCCATCCCACCCCCATCACCCCGCCAGGTCTCCCCCTACTCACTGCTTGCCTATGATGCCTTCTGGGTGGCGGCCCGTGCGCTGCACAACCTCTCCCACCTGCCAGGCGCCAGCTTTCCCTTCCGCCCGCGCCGCCCTGTTCTGCCCCCGGATGGTGGGGGAAGCACTGATTTTGCGCGGCTCAAAGTCAGCAAGGGTGAGCCGTCAGCAGATTGTTTCTTGTCCTCCAGTTTGTCATGTTAGGCGCCTCAAATTTGTCCTCCAGTTCGTCATGTTAGGCGCCTCAAATTTGTCCTCCAGTTCGTCATGTTAGGCGCCTCAAATTTGTCCTCCAGTTCGTAGTACATGTCCGCTGGCTGCATGTACCTAGGTGCATGCATGCATGCGTGCATCCTCCTGTCGATCATCATGCATGCATGCGTGCATCTTGTCGATTAATCCTCTTGTTGCCTAACTGGTCCGAACCCATCGCCTCTATCGAATCCTGTTTCCATGCCCTGACAGCTGGCGTGAGGATATTGGAGGAGCTTGTCAAGACTAAGATGGATGGAATCATTGGAAAGTGAGTGTTGAGACGCCTCAAAACGCTTGTCAAGACTAAAGTGGATGGAATCACTGGAAAGTGAGTGTTGTTGATGAGTGAGTGAGGTTCCTCCCGCCCCGCCCCGCCCCGCATGGTGGACGACCAGACTAGCATGCATGAATGCCCGTGGTAGTGATTTCGTGAGGGCACATGGATCCTTTATGACTGGGAATCCCTTGAAGTGTGATTGAGCTGCATTGCAACGGGGGCAGCCTGTCCAAGGCTGTTCAATGCAGTGCAGAATCAAACCCATCATCCCCCCGGCCCGGTCTCCCCCACCCCCTCTTTCTCGCTCTATTTCCCCACACCCGTTCCTCCCTCTGTCTCGTCACATCGCTTTCTTTTCTCCCTCTGCCACCCCACCCGTCCCCGCCTTCCTTTCTCTCCCCTTCCTTCCTTCCTTCGGCTGTGCTTCCAGCATACCTTTGACAAGAGAGCTACGAGATAGACTTTTAACATGTCTCACAGCTTTGTTCTCTCTCCTTCCTTCCTTCCTACCTTCCTTCGTCCTTCCTTCGGCTATCCTTCCAGGGTTGCCTTTCACAGGAACCATGATTGTGTGGGAGTGAGTGACCTACGTGTTCTGGCACGACTCAGGGTCTTGACCTATTTCTCTCTCCTTCTCACCTCCTGTTGTCCTTCCTTCCAGGGTTGCATTTGACGAGAACCACGACCGTGTGGGAGTGAGCTACGAGGTGGTCAATCTGGTGGCGTCAAACTTTGAAACGCTCGGTTACTGGGAGCAGGGCAAGGGTCTCGTGGCTGCCCCTGTGAGTAGCCCTCTTTCTTCCTGCAGGCACGTGTGCTGGTCCAAACCCCTGTGCTGTCTCTGGGTCATTGCTGTGGAGAGAATGAGCGAGCTATAAGGTGGTCAATTTGGTGGCCTCAACCTTTGAAACCCTCGGCTATTGGGAGCAAGGCAAGGGCCTTGTTCCTGCTGCCCCTGTGAGTAGCCCTCTCCTCTCTGCCTGCACATGCGAAACGCAACGCTTGCCTTGCGCACCCCTCCTTGCATTGATTGTGTTTCCATTCGAGTGGCTTTTGGGTGACTCAATAGCTTTGCACCCTGTTCTACTTCCCCACCCCTCCCTCCATGCATCCCGTTGCACAGTCGCGCGAGGCATGTAACACCAACCTCAAGCCTGTTCAATGAGGCGATTCATTAATCTGTTCTCCTCCCCCTCCCCTCCGTGCATCCCATTGCCAGTCGAAAGAGCCATCCAACACCACCCTCAAGCCTGCTGTGTGGCCTGGCAATACCTCCAAGGTGATGCCTCTCCAAGGTAACACCTCTTCAAGGTAACACCTCTTCAAGGTAACACCTCTTCAAGGTAACACCTCTTCAAGGTAACACCTTTTCAAGGTAACACCTCTTCAAGGTAACACCTCTTCAAGGTAACACCTCTTCAAGGTAACACCTCTTCAAGGTAACACCTCTTCAAGGTAACACCTTTTCAATGTAACGTTTCTTCGATGCAAAATAAAGTGAAATCGCCTCCAAGTGGATACATGCTTTCCGCGCCTGTGCTCGATTATAATCTCCACTTTAACGACCCTGCAAAGCCCAAGAATTATTAATAGACGAACGTGGCTTGCTAGTTCATCTGATTCGGAGCAGCAACTTTTCTCCCATTCTCTAACCTTTCTCCCCATCCTCTTGATTCCTCGTTCTCCCCCCCTTCTCCCAATTCCCCCGTGGCTGAGGCAAGGCTCTACGCATTGCAAGTCTGTTCTTTACAATAGCTCTTCCCCATCCTCTCACCTCTTCGCTCCCCCCCTCTCTCAGTTCCCCCGTGGCTGGTTACCATCCAAAGGCAAGGCGTTACGCATTGCAGTCCCATTCGGCCCTTCGGTAAGCCCCTTCGTCGTCACTCCGTCTATATCCTATCATGATCATCCATCCTCCCCTCTCCCCGGTTTCTCGTCTGCAGCATCAAACCCACTTCCGAAGTTTCTCCAAAGTGGCATTGATCGATGTTTTTGCAAGTCCTACGTCCATATGAATCAGCTGCACCTTTGCCCGTATTCCCTTCCCCCCTTCCCGTGCTGCCTACCCCACCGCTGTATCACAGTATGGAAGCCGCACTGCAGATGGGATCATCTCAGGCTTCTGTGTGGAGGTATCTCAGCGAGCCATGGCACTTCTTCTTTCTGATACCTTTTGAGTGCTTTAACCTCTCCTCTCCCACCCCACTCCCCTCCCCTTCCCCCTCTTCCCGTTCCTGACCCTTCCCCGCCCTCTTCCCCAGGCTGTGGAGCAGTATGTGAGCCGCACTTCAGACTGCAATCAGGGTTCTGTGTGGGGGTGTTTCAACGAGCTATGGCACTTTGTCTTGAGAGACGTTTTTCGAGTCTCACCTCCTCTCCTGCCCTTCCCCTCTTCCCCAGGCTGTGGAGCAGTATGTGAGCCGCACTCCAGATGGCAACTTCTCAGGCTTATGTGTGGAGGTGTTTCAGCGAGCCATGGCGCTGCTGCCATACCCAGTGGGGTACTCACTCGTGGCATATGACTTCAGGGGGAGCTCCTACGAGGACCTCATTCGTCGCGTCGCCAACAAGGTGCGCGTGAGCGAGGGGGGCGGCAGGCTGTCATGGTTGCTTGCTGCTGTGAACGGTGGGTGGGGTACTCTCTTGTGGGGTACTCTCTTGTGGGGTACTCTCTTGTGTGGTATGACTTCAAGGGGAGCTCCTACGAGGACCTCATTCGGCGCGTCGCTAACAAGGTGGGCGGGCGCGTGGGATGGGAGTGGGAAGCAAGGTGAGGAGAGACGAAGGGTCATGGCGCTGCTGCCGTACCCAGTGGGGTACTCGCTGGTGGCGTATGACTTTTACAGGGAGCTCCTACAAGGACCTCATTCGGCGAGTCGCCAACTAGGTGGGCGGGCGAGAGGGAGGGAAGGCATAGAGCAGTGGCTGCTTGCTGTTGTTTGTAGCCAGTGGGTGTGATGGTCTGGGGTGGGGTGGGGTGGGGTGGGGTGGGGTGGGGTGGGGTGGGGTGGGGTGGGGTTCTCCCTCGTGCTCTATGACTTCCAGGGGAGCTCCTACGAGGATCTGATTCGGCGCGTCGCGAGCAAGGTGGGTGCGAGAGTGGGAGTGATGTAGTAGACAGAGGGGAGGCAAGGCTGAAGACAAGATGGGAACCTCCCCTTTCCCCCCTCCCCCCTTTCCCCCTTTCCCCCTTTACCCCTTCCCCTGTCTAGCTTAATCCTTTTCCTTTCCCCTTTTTCCCTTCCCCCTTTTCCCCTCCCCGCTCCCCCTCACCCCTCTCGGCCTCATTTCCGACCTCCCCTTCAGGAGTATGACGGGGCGGTGGGCGACATCACAGTCACAGCAGACCGCGCTCAGATTGTGGACTTCACACAGCCCTTCATGGTAACCGCATGGTAACCGCATTTTCATGGTAAGCGAATGGTAACCGCTTCATGGTAACCATGTGGTAATGGCTTCATGATAACCATGTGGTAACGGCTTCATAATAATCATATGGTAATGCTTCATAATAACCATGTGGTAACGGCTGCATGATAACCATGTGGTAACGGCTTCATGAAAACCATATGGTAATGGCTTCATTATAACCATGTGGTAACGGCTTCATAATAACCATATGGTAACGGCTTCATGATAACATGTGGTAACGGCTTCATGATAACCATGTGGTAACGGCTTCATGATAACCATATGGTAACGCTTCATAATAACCATGTGGTAATGGCTTCATGATAACCATATGGTAACGCTTCATAATAACCATGTGGTAACGGCTTCATGATAACCATGTGGTAACGGCTTCATGAAAACCATATGGTAACGGCTTCATTATAACCATGTGGTAACGGCTTCATGACCATATGGTAACGGCTTCATGATAACCATATGGTAACGGCTTCATAATAACCATGTGGTAATGGCTTCATGGTAACCATGTGGTAACAGCTGCATGGTAACAGCTTCATTAATGGTAACAGCTTAGTGGTAACCATATGGTAACCACATTCTGGCAACCATCTGTGGTAACTGCACAGCCACTGATGGTGGTAATCACATGCTGCTGGTAACCGCATCCAACTGCACAGGCACAGCCTGGTGATTGTAGCATCATAATAGTTATGGTGAGGTGACGACAAGACTGACTTCATGGTCGAGTCATGACAGCCTTCTTATTCTCCACTGCACTTGTCTAAATCTCCTTTCTCACCCCAAGATTGCCAGACTTTCGCGGCGCCAACTCTAGACTGATCATTTATCCCTTGGCTCGTTCTCGTCCGCGCCCTGCCTACCCACCCACCCCAACAGGAGTCAGGGCTGGGGCTGCGTCTTCTTCCGTCCTACTTCCTGCTCGCCCTGCCTGCCTGTCCCAACAGGAGTCAGGGCTGGGTCTGGTGGTGCCGGTGCTGCAGGGCGATCCGGCCAACCCCTGAGCTCTCTTCCCTCTACTACCCCTAGCATCCCTTCTCTCTCTTCCCTTCTCTCTTCGCCCTTGAATCACAGGAGTCAGGGCTGGGGCTGGTGGTGCCGGTGCTACAGGGCGATCCGGCCAACCCCTGGGCTCTCTTCCCTCCACTACCCCTAGCATCCCTTCTCTCTCTTCCCTTCTCTCTTCGCCCTTGAATCACAGGAGTCAGGGCTGGGGCTGGTGGTGCCGGTGCTGCAGGGCGATCCGGCCAACCCCTGGGCGTTCCTGTACCCGTTCACAGGCAGCATGTGGGCGCTCATGATTGCCTCCATAGTCTTCACCGCCGCTGTCATCTGGTCTGGTACCTACAGGCCGACCCCACCCCTTAGCCCCTGACAATGCCTCACCCTTTCCCTCCTTCTCTTCCTCGCCCCGCCTCCCTACGCCAACATTTCTGAAACGCAGGAGTCAGGGCTGGGGCTGGTGGTGCCGGTGCTGCAGGGCGACCCAGCCAACCCCTGGGCGTTCCTGTACCCGTTCACAGGGAGCATGTGGGCGCTCATGATCGCATCCATAGTCTTCACCGCGGCTGTCATCTGGTACCTCGAGCACAACCAGAACCTTGACTTTGGCGGAGGGCCGTACCACCACCAGCTCACCACCAGCCTCTGGTGAGTGCTTGGCTGAGATGAGTCAAGCTCTGGTTGGGAGGTCAGCAGCCTGTGCCAGCGCTCATGATCGCATCCATAGTCTTCACCGCGGCTGTCATCTGGTACGTCGAGCACAACCAGAACCTGGACTTCGGCGGAGGGCCGTACCACCACCAGCTCACCACCAGCCTCTGGTGAGTGTCAGTTGAGGTGGCGTGGAATGGAGCTCAGCACGTGGCGTGGGCTGTTCGTTTCGCACAGCATTTCGCCCAGAATCCGGTGCACTCGATACCTTTGGTGTGTATAGAGCGCCTGCCAGCGCTCATGATCACCTCTGTAGTCTTTCACCGCTGCTGTCATCTGGTACCTCGAGCACAACCACCACGAGCTCACCACCAGCCTCTGGTAAGCACTGGCTCGCGTGTTTATATATATGTATATGTAGATACAGACAGTACATATTCTTATAGCAAACTGAACTAGACGCTCCCTTTGCCGGGTCAGCCCTTGCATTCATTGAATACCTGAGTTGGTGCCATTGAGCAATTTGGCCATCTTTGCTGCAGATTTCATTTCCCACTCCATTTGTTTTCTCCACCTACCCTTCCCCTTCCCTGTGATTATCCCCTTCAGGTTTTCCTTTGCTAGCATGGTTCGCTCACAAGGTACTTGCTCTGATACCACTGCACTGCACTTTTTGTTCATTCCACGATATTTGTTGGGTTGTCCCATAACCCATAAACTAATGCTCGTCTTCTTACTTCTCCACCCTTCATGCTTACGAGTTTAAGACATTTCCATGTTATGCATATGTTTGATGATGGGTGTGCTGCGTTCGTATACAATAATCATGTAATCATATCATATCATATAATATCATGCCATGCCATATCCACACGTCCCTTTGCTTCTTCTTGTGCTAATTTCACGTCATGTGCTTGTGCGTATGACCGTTCAACCCCCTTACAGAGCAGCACGTGGGCACAGTGCTGGGCCGCTTCGTGGTGATTTCGTGGCTCTTTGTGGTTCTCATCGTCACCTGCAGTTACACCGCCAATCTTACCTCCATCCTCACTGTTAACAACCTCACTCCCCCTGTACAGGTATGCTACTTACTTTTCCAGCAAGTTATGCACACTAGTACAGTACGTGTTGTGTACAGTACTTGCAGAGTATTCAACCTGATCTAATACAAAACGTCTCAAAACCATCGTCACTCACAACTTGCCACTCGCTCCTCGACCCCCCCAACCCTCGTCCCAGTGCCTCATGGCAGTCCCTGGCTGGCAGCAGTGATCACACCGGGCTCCATGGTGGGTCTATCTCAGCGGCTGCTGTGGCATTCCAATGCTTCGTATCTCACCTTTTGCCAACAAGCTTCGCCCCCACGTTCCAGTCCCTGGCTGGCAGCAGTCATCACATCGGGCTCCGGCGTGGGCTATCTCAACGGCCCTTGAGGCGTCACAACGTCTCAAAACCCGAACCCCGCTCTCCCACCCCTTGCCCCTCCCTCCCTGTGCTCCGTGTCAGTCACTTGCAGCAGTCATCACATCGGGCTCCGGCGTGGGCCATCTCAACGGCTCTTGAGGCGTCACGACTCACAACTGCTCATGAATCCCTCCCCCCCCCCCCCCTCCGCCCCTCGCCCCTCGCCTCTCGCCCCTCCCTTCGCCCTGTGTCAGTCCCTGGCAGCAGTGATCACATCGGGCTCCGTCGTGGGCTATCTCAACGGATCCTTCTCCGAGAAGCACCTGCTGGGCTTTGGCGTCCGCAGGGTAAGTCCCTTCCTGCCCAGGGCTCAATGCAGTGACGCTTGAGTCGACTCACAAGTCACCTCCTTCTGGGTCGCCTCTAAAGGCTTATCAGATCCTTCTCCGAGCAGCACCTGCTGGGCTTTGGTGTTCGCAAAGTGAGTCCCCAGCCTGAACGGGCTGTGAGTGATGGGATCTGAACGGTGGGCTGTGAACGGTGGGATCTGAATGGTGGGCTGTGAACGGTGGGATCTGAACGGTGGGCTGTGAACGGTGGGATCTGAACGGTGGGCTGTGAACGGTGGGATCTGAATGGTGGGCTGTGAACGGTGGGATCTGAATGGTGGGCTGTGAACGGTGGGATCTGAATGGTGGGCTGTGAACGGTGGGATCTGAATGGTGGGCTGTGAACGGTGGGATCTGAATGGTGAGCTTTGAACAGTGTCTGTGCCTCACGCCACTCACTCACTCCTTCCTCCTCCTTGACTCTCTCTATCCGCAACAAAAGCAGCTTCAGCCACTCAACAACGTGGATGAGTACACAGCAGCCATACTGGCTGAACAGCACTGTGATGGGGATGGTGGGCTTTGAATGACGGGGATGTGAACAGTGGGCTGCGAATGGTGTGCGTGACTCATGTTACTCACTCACACTCCCTCCTTGTTTCTATCCCCAACAGAAGCTGCTCCAGCCACTCAACAGCATGGACGAGCCACCGGAAGCCATGCTGATGGTGGGAATGGCGGACTGTGAATGGCGGACTGTGAACAGTGTGTGTGCCTCGTGCCACTCACACTCCTTCCGCCCCTGTCCTCTGCTTCCCTCCAACAGAAGCAGCTGCAGCCACTCAACAGTGTGGATGAGTACGTGGAAGCCATGCTGATGAACGGCACCGTGGTGGGGGTGGTGGTGGGCTGTGAGCACTGCACACCCCATGCTGCTCACACTTGTGCACCTCATGCTGCTCACACTCGCTCACACTCCTTCCTCCTTTCCTTTGACCTTAACAGAAGCAGCTGCAGCCACTCAACAGTGTGGACGAGTACGCAGAGGCCATGCTGAACGGCACAGTCGTGGGGGTGGTGGACGAGCGTCCCTTCCTGGATCTCATTCTCACGCAAGACTGCACATTCACCACAGGGGACGCCGATATTTCCACCCTCGGATGGGCCTTTGTGAGTGCCATACCCACCCGTGCGTTGTTGCGGTCTTTGAGTGGTCTTTTAACAGTCTGGGGTCTGGTTAAAAGAAGGGCGTGGTGGATGAGCGACCTTTCCTGGACCTCATTCTATTTGTCACAGAATATAATCGTAAGAGCATCCTATTCAGTACATGTGCTAATTGGGGTGTAGAAGGGTGTAGCAATTGTTGTTTAATTGCTCGGTGGGGTAGTTGGGTTGGGTTATTGGGAGAAGCGAGAAGCTGGTAGTATTGGGTGTTACAGAGCGCTTCGGGGACAATTTCAGGGACCTCGGGAGACAGGGAATCTGGCAAAAGGCCAATCCAAGGCCCAGGCAGCTCGAGGTCAACCGATCAAGCTAAGAATCTTTTTTTGAGGCGCCTAAAAAATCGGCTCGAGGTCAACCGATCAAGCTGAGAATCTCGCGACTGGGTAGACAAGCTTAAGAAGCCTAGCCGAGCATAGCAGACCTGTTCTCTCGTCTTGTTTACCATTGCATAGTGGATTTACGTTGCTGACTCAAGCTACAAGCAGCTAGGTGACTAGGCCACTATTGGTACCCAGCCTGTGGGAGCTGAATCTCTCACAAGACGAGAGAAAAGCGGCGTGATGGATCGTCATGAGCTGCGCATGCAGCTGACGTACTCGCGGCGGGAGCGCTCGCCGTCGCGAAGGAGGCGGTCAACGGAGCGCGGGAGGTCGCCGAAGCGCTCGCCCCGCAGCCTTTGAGTGGTCTTTGAGCAGTCTGGGGGTTGGCTAAAAGAAGGGCGTGGTGGACGAGCGACCCTTCCTAGACCTCATTCTATCACAGGACTGCACATTCACCACGGGGGAAGCAGAATCTCCACCCTCGCATGGGCCTTCCTGAGTGCAGCAGTCAGTGGGTTTTGCTGCTGCTGTATGGTCTTAGGCAAGAGGACCATGTTAAGTACCAAATTGCACCACCAGACCAGGAATGCTCGTTCCCGGGGGGGTGGGGGGGGGGGGGAAAGCTGACACGTCCACCCTTCTTCAACCCCTCCAACTTTCAACCCTCTCCACCCCTCTTCATCCCTCTTCAACCCCCTTGAATCAACCCGGCACCCCTTTCATTCACCAGGCTTTTCAGAAGGGGTCAAATCTGGCCGTTGATCTGAGCAAGGCCATCGCCCAGCTGAGCGAAACAGGCCAGCTGCGATCCATCCACAGCAACTACGTGCCTGTGAGTGTCCATGTGCCTGTGAGTGTCCACGGGCCTGTAAGTATCGATGTGCTGCAAGTGTCCTTGCGCTTGTAAGCAAGGGTGTGCCTTTAATGGGTGATGTGCCTGGTCGGAGTGATGTGACTGTAAGGGTTTCCGGGCATGTCATTCGTTCTGCTTCCACGCTGAGTCAAATCTGAGCTTTCTCCTTTCTTGCCTCCGCCCTCTAAACCAAAACCACCCACAGAACAACCTGATGTGCGGTGGGGACGCAAGCGGGCAATCATCGGATAGCCTGGGAGCAGAGGGCTCTCAGGGCATGTCATTCTGACCTCAGCTTGCACGTGCACCACCATGTTAACCTGACCTCTTCACCTCCTTGCCTCTGCCCTGAACCCCCCCCTCCAACAGAACAACCTGACGTGCAGTGGGGACGCCAGCGGGCAATCATCGGATAGTCTGGGAGTGGAGGGGTTTCAGAACCTGTTCATTCTCTACGCTGCCATGGCCACCTTCGCCTGCCTCATGTACCTCGGTGTGCTGCTCTACCGCGGCCACCTCGCCAAGAAGTGGGTTCTCCTTTTCTTCTTGTTTATTGTTTCTTTACTTGCACATCTGCCTAAGAGGTATGTGGTGTGCCTTGAGGGAGCATCACAGGAAGCCACCTTCGCCTGCCTCATGTACCTTTGGCGTGCTGCTCTACCGCGGCCACCTCACCATCAAGTATGTTGTTTTGCCTCTTCTCTTCATATCTTTCTGGGAGGTATGGCGTGTGACTTGAGGGAGCACAACAGCAAGCCACCTTACGCCTGCCTCATTTACCTTGGTGTCCTGCTCTACCGCGGCCACCTCGCCACGAAGCAAGTGTTTTCTTCCCTTTCTTTGTTTTCTTTCACACGTGACTGAGAGGCATGTGGTGTGCCCTGAGGAAACACCACATCACACCACCTTACGCCTGCCTCATGCACCTTGCCATGCTGCTCTGCCGCCGCCACCTTCCCAAGAAGTAAAAAATGTCCTGCTTTTGTTTTGATGCCTGGCATAGAGGTGTGTCATGTGTTCCCAAAAAGCACCATAGACAAGGGAGCCACCTTCGCCTGTCTCGCATACGTTTTCCAGAAGGCCTTTTTTGTTTCCTCAGCCTGGATTCCCTCATGCACGTCACTCGGCCCATCCTCGTATCCATCCATCTGGTCTCTGCGATTGTCGCAGGAGGGTGTTTGTCTAATTTCTCAAAAACACCCTGCTGCAACCTCATATCCATCCATCTGGTCTCTGCGATTGCCTCTTCGCGGCTTCGCCTGCTGTCTCTACACCGTGAGGGTCACTTTGAAGAATTCTGAAAAGTGGCACCTTGAGGACCAGCCCGGCCACTTTGGTGTTTCCTTTGCTCTCCGCTTTCCTTTGTCTCGATTTCCCGGGGTTCCTGGTTCTGCCAGGTGGTGCACACAGGGAGTTGGAGGAGGAGGGAGAGGAAGTGAGTGGGGGCAACTTCTAGTCGACTCAAATTCTTCTTCTCCTTTGTCGTTGACTCCCCCACGTTCCCCGTTGTGCCTGGTGGTGCACACAGGGAGTTGGAAGAGGAGGGAGAGGAAGTGAGTGGGGGCAACTTCTAGTCGACTCAAATTCCTCTTCTCCTTTGTCGTTGACTCCCCCACGTTCCCCGTTGTGCCTGGTGGTGCCCACAGGGAGTTGGAGGAGGAGGGAGAGGAAGTGAGTGGGGGCATGTCTGCGATCAAGGCGAAGCCATGGATGAACCCTTTCAAGCACTTCATCTACCTCTATAACCTCGTGAGTCCATGCACTCCTGCAGTTATGCATGCGTGTAGTCATGCATGTGACTTCTGAGTCGACTCAAAAAAGGCACCTCAAGGCAAAGCCATGGATGAACCCTTTCAAGCACTTCATCTACCTCTATAACCTCGTGAGTCCATGCACTCCTGCAGTTATGCATGCGTGTAGTCATGCATGTGACTTCTGAGTCGACTCAAAAAAGGCACCTCAAGGCAAAGCCATGGATGAACCCTTTCAAGCACTTCATCTACCTCTATAACCTCGTGAGTCCATGCACTCCTGCAGTTATGCATGCGTGTAGTCATGCATGTGACTTCTGAGTCGACTCAAAAAAGGCACCTCAAGGCAAAGCCATGGATGAACCCTTTCAAGCACTTCATCTACCTCTATAACCTCGTGAGTCCATGCACTCCTGCAGTTATGCATGCGTGTAGTCATGCATGTGACTTCTGAGTCGACTCAAAAAAGGCACCTCAAGGCAAAGCCATGGATGAACCCTTTCAAGCACTTCATCTACCTCTATAACCTCGTGAGTCCATGCACTCCTGCAGTTATGCATGCGTGTAGTCATGCATGTGACTTCTGAGTCGACTCAAAAAAGGCACCTCAAGGCAAAGCCATGGATGAACCCTTTCAAGCACTTCATCTACCTCTATAACCTCGTGAGTCCATGCACTCCTGCAGTTATGCATGCGTGTAGTCATGCATGTGACTTCTGAGTCGACTCAAAAAAGGCACCTCAAGGCAAAGCCATGGATGAACCCTTTCAAGCACTTCATCTACCTCTATAACCTCGTGAGTCCATGCACTCCTGCAGTTATGCATGCGTGTAGTCATGCATGTGACTTCTGAGTCGACTCAAAAAAGGCACCTCAAGGCAAAGCCATGGATGAACCCTTTCAAGCACTTCATCTACCTCTATAACCTCGTGAGTCCATGCACTCCTGCAGTTATGCATGCGTGTAGTCATGCATGTGACTTCTGAGTCGACTCAAAAAAGGCACCTCAAGGCAAAGCCATGGATGAACCCTTTCAAGCACTTCATCTACCTCTATAACCTCGTGAGTCCATGCACTCCTGCAGTTATGCATGCGTGTAGTCATGCATGTGACTTCTGAGTCGACTCAAAAAAGGCACCTCAAGGCAAAGCCATGGATGAACCCTTTCAAGCACTTCATCTACCTCTATAACCTCGTGAGTCCATGCACTCCTGCAGTTATGCATGCGTGTAGTCATGCATGTGACTTCTGAGTCGACTCAAAAAAGGCACCTCAAGGCAAAGCCATGGATGAACCCTTTCAAGCACTTCATCTACCTCTATAACCTCGTGAGTCCATGCACTCCTGCAGTTATGCATGCGTGTAGTCATGCATGTGACTTCTGAGTCGACTCAAAAAAGGCACCTCAAGGCAAAGCCATGGATGAACCCTTTCAAGCACTTCATCTACCTCTATAACCTCGTGAGTCCATACATGTGTGCAGTCATGCATGTAGGCATACTTGCATGTAGGTAGACTTGCATGTAGGCATACTTGCATGTAGGTAGACTTGCATGTAGGCATACTTGCATGTAGGTAGACTTGAATCATGCATGCAATCCTGCTTGTGGTTTTGTATGTAGTTATGCATGCAATATTGCATCTAATCATACATGTAACCTTGCATACGATCGTGCACATTTCCTTCCATGCAGTCATGCATGTGCCAACAGGTGCCTCCAGCCTACAGGGAATGCCTCTTGTGCAACGTGCGCCTTCCCATAATATGTGGTACTTTTGCTTGTCAATGTTACATTGTTTCAGGGTGTGGCATGGAGCATTGCTCGCAATATTGAATGTGACGAGGACGAGCCGTTTTATGACGCAGACACGTTTGATGTGTACGAAGGCACATCGTTCAACCAATCAGAGTTTACAAATGGAACTGACGAAGGCTCAAAGCATGATCCAGGCCGTTGATTGAAGCAAAGTTGATGAAGTCGCTGTGCTGTCGTCGGTTCTCTCCGTACGCTGCTGTTGCTTATTTATTTCTTGCTTTGTGTCAGGTGTGGTATATCAACTCCACTTGGTGCTAGGTTTGCAATCTTGTAGTGGCTGTACGTGGCATCTTGTGCGGTGGCAATTTATTGTACATGTCTGAGTGCATTGCCTTGTCTTATGATTTGAATGTACCATGTTATTGAGATGTGCATTTATGTATATCAGACGCACCTCGCAATGTTACAGCATTACTGTGCGAAACTCCTGCCCTCGTTTTCCCCAAACCCAACCTGTCAAAAAAAACTCCCATGCCCCACCCATGAGAGATCAATGCCTCCCTGTTACCCTCACCTTGACATCCTTGAAGCTGCCGACAATTCAGCTGACTGAAAGATCGCAAGTCGAACTTTCGTAATTACCCAGCCGCCGCGCCTGTCGCACAACATGGCGGCCGATGGTAGTGGAAATGGAAATCGCAGTCGAAAAGAGAAAGATAAGAGCAAAGGCATCAAGGTTAGCAAGAAAACCGCAGCTGTGACAACCAAGAAGCAGGATCGGGAAGGCCAGCAGAGCAATCCGAACGACGACGATTCTCGCCCACGTGGAAAGCAGAGCGAAGCGGGATCGCGTCCACGTGGCAATCGGAATGACGAGGGTTCGCTTCCACGTGGCGGCAGTCGAGATGCTGCTGCCGGAGAGATTTTGCCCGCGAGATTGCTGCCGTCGCAGATTAAGAACAAGCAGAAGCGGTCGGCAGTGACGGCGAAGCTTCGCGCGGAGAAGGAGAAGGGGAAGAAGCAGCGGCTGAAGCGGCGGCGGCAAGAGGAGGAACGCGCAGTAGCGCTTGGGGAAGCGGTATGTCGGAGGGAGCAATGGTTGGGGTTTAAGCAGCAGGACGGGGGAATTTTGAAGACAGGCGTGGGGGGGAGGCAATGGGCACAGAGGTTTCTCACATTGCGGCAGCAGACTGACTGTTTAATTATCGCCTCGCCAATCTCTGGATTTCGGGTTTCGGGATCTGTGTTCATCATTCAGAACCCTGCTTGAATCTTAAACCCTGCAGGCCCCACCGCGGAAGGTAGCTCGCACCATCGACAGCACGCGGGAGGTGGACGAGACTATAGCGCAGCCCGACGACGACGAGGTGACTATAACGGGGGAGGAGTTTGGCGTATGTGTGTGACTATGGCATTGTAGCGAGGTGGTTTGATGAGTCGTTCTGAAGGTCACCTGGAGAGGTGGACGAGACTGCCGTGTCGTCTGACGGTGATGAGCGTGACTATAATGAAGGGGAAGTTAGAAGGAAGGCAGATGGGTTGGTTGGTGAATCGCAGTTCTTTAATGATTAATGCAATGCGAACGGATGATTACTGTCATGAATGAATCATCTCATCACAACATTTTTCTCATCCCGCACTCCACCCTCCCTCCTCTCTCCTCCTCCCTCCTCTCTCTTCCTCCCTCCTCCTCTCTCCTCCTCCCTCCTCTCTCTTCCTCCCTCCTACTCTCTCCTCCTCCGTCTTCCTCTCACCTCCTCCCTCCTCCTTCGTCATCCCTCCTCTCTCGTCTCTCCTCTTTCCTCCCTCACTCCCCTTCCTGTCTCCCTCTCCGTACTCTCCCCCCGCCCCCCCCCTTTAATGGAACATCACAGCTACATGCAGACGAGCACAGGACGAGTTTCTCACACACTTGTTTTTCCAGGCGCCTCATGAATAGACCTCCCGTCCAACCCCCCTCCTCTTCTTCCCACCACTACTCCCCATGGCAACACCACAGCTACATGCAGAAGAGGAGAGGAGCAGGCAGGACGAGTTTACCCCGCACTTGTTTTACCCTCGCCTCATGAAGAGAACCCCCTTCCCCTCCCCCTTCCCTCCCTCCTCACCCACCACTACCCCCCATGACCCCCATGGAACATCACAGCTACATGCAGACGAGCACAGGACGAGTTTCCCCCACACTTGTTTTTCCAGGCGCCTCATGAATAGACCTCCCGTCCCAACCCCCCTCCTCTTCTTCCCACCACTACTCCCCATGGCAACACCACAGCTACATGCAGAAGAGGAGAGGAGCAGGCAGGACGAGTTTACCCCGCACTTGTTTTACCCTCGCCTCATGAAGAGAACCCCCTTCCCCTCCCCCTTCCCTCCCTCCTCACCCACCACTACCCCCCATGACCCCCCATGGAACATCACAGCTACATGCAGACGAGGCACAGGACGAGTTCGCGCCGCACTTCAACCGAGAGAGGCCGCCCAAAGTGCTCATCACCACATGCCAACGGATACACCCGGTATGCCATTTTTTGCTGCACTTTTACCTTTTTTTTGTTTGGCATTCCGTTTCTTTTTCATTTTCCTGGAGAGTCTCGTGCCGTCAAATGGTGTGGTGGCGCAGCCGTGTCATGTCGTGTCATGTGCCTGACATCTCCAGTTTGTTTTTCATTATCATTTGGCGCTTGTCTTTCCCCTTCTTTTTATCATTAGCCTTTTTTTACTTCGTTGCGTTCTATCTTCGCAGACAATGAAGCAGTTTATAAAGGAGCTTTTAGTGGTCATTCCAGGGTCGGAGTACTATGAGAGGCGGCAATATCGCATCAAGGAGGTGCGTGTCATGTGAGGCACGAGGGGAGGTGCGTGTCATGTGAGGCACGAGGGGAGGTGCGTGTCATGTGAGGCACGAGGGGAGGTGCGTGTCATGTGAGGCACGAGGGGAGGTGCGTGTCATGTGAGGCACGAGGGGAGGTGCGTGTCATGTGAGGCACGAGGGGAGGTGCGTGTCATGTGAGGCACGAGGGGAGGTGCGTGTCATGTGAGGCACGAGGGGAGGTGCGTGTCATGTGAGGCACGAGGGGAGGTGCGTGTCATGTGAGGCACGAGGGGAGGTGCGTGTCATGTGAGGCACGAGGGGAGGTGCGTGTCATGTGAGGCACGAGGGGAGGCGCGTGTCATGTGAGGCACGAGGGGAGGCGCGTGTCATGTGAGGCACGAGGGGAGGTGCGTGTCATGTGAGGCACGAGGGGAGGTGCGTGTCATGTGAGGCAGGAGGGGAGGTGCGTGTGATGTGAGGCACGAGGGGAGGTGCGTGTGAGGCACGAGGGGAGGTGCATGTGAGGCACGAGGGGAGGTGCGTGCAGTGCTGCTCTATCTTCTGCATGCTTCTCTTTCCAATCTCTTCTCTTTGCTTTCCCATCTCATTTCCTGTCTCCCCTCTTTACTTTCCCGTCTCTTGTTTTCTGTTTAAAACATCACTAGGTCCCGTGACTAGCCCCCTACCCCTCTTTTTTTCTTCCTCCTTCCAACGAGTTCAGTTCGCATCAGCACATGACCACGGGGCTACAGCACGATCAACAACGCCTACCCCTCCGTACCCTCCTCCTTCCTGCGAGTGCAGATAGTTCAATATGGATCAGCACATGACCACAGGGCTACAGCACGATCAACAACGCCTACCCCTCCCTCCCTTCCCCTTGCTGGGAGTGCAGATAGTGCAGTACGCATCAGCGAGGGAGCTGCTTTTGAGTTGGCTCAAAAGCACAATACCAACGCCTACCCTTCCCTCTCTTCCCTCCCTTCCCTCCCTCCTTTCCCGTGCGTTGCGAGTGCAGATAGTGCAGTACGCATCAGCGAGGGAGCTGCTTTTGAGTTGGCTCAAAAGCACAATACCAACGCCTACCCTTCCCTCTCTTCCCTCCCTTCCCTCCCTCCCCTCCCTCCTTTCCCGTGCCTTGCGAGTGCAGATAGTGCAGTACGCATCAGCGAGGGAGCTGCTTTTGAGTCGGCTCAAAACCCTTCCCTCCCCTCCCTCCCCTCCCTCCTTTCCCGTGCCTTGCGAGTGCAGATAGTGCAGTACGCATCAGCGAGGGACTACACCGCAATGATTGTGGTCAACGAGAATCGGAACAAGCCAAGTGGGTTGCTGATTCACACGTTCTGTTCTGGCAAGCGGTTTGGTTTGGCCAGCCCTTTGGCACTTCGTTTCGTCTCTGTGTCTCTGTGCGGTGTCCCAGAGCCAGAGTCAGAGCCAGAGTCATTCATGCATTCGCTTCGCTACAACGTTGCATATGTGTGGTTTTTTCTTTGCAAGGGAGTGAGAGCCGAGCCAAGCACCATTCCAAATGCTGCTCGGCTCGCACTCCCTTCCATTCCAATGGTTTTTGCTTTGCAAGGGAGTGAGAGAGAGCCGAGCCAAGCACCACTTAGACCATGCATGCACGTCTCCGTCCTCTCAGATCCGATCCAACTTCTTCTCTGGTTTTGTCTCTGGCTTCGGCTCTTGAACGTGGTGCAAAATTCGTCCCACTTCCGACCTGTATCCCGCTCTCCCCGCTCCTTCCGCCCTCCCTCCTTCCTTCTCCAGACGCACTCATGCTCATCGGCCTGCCAGAAGGCCCCACTGCTCTCTTCAAGCTCTCACAAGTGATGCATGCAAGCACCATCCCACCTCCCTTGTCTCTCCCCCCACCTCCCCCATCCCTCCCCCCCCCACCACCAGATGCACTCATGCTCATTGGCCTGCCAGAAGGCCCCACTGCTCTCTTCAAGCTCTCACAAGTGATGCATGCAAGCACCATCCCACCTCCCTTGTCTCTCCCCCCACCTCCCCCATCCCTCCCCCCCCCACCACCAGATGCACTCATGCTCATTGGCCTGCCAGAAGGCCCCACTGCTCTCTTCAAGCTCTCACAAGTGATGCATGCAAGCACCATCCCACCTCCCTTGTCTCTCCCCCCACCTCCCCCATCCCTCCCCCCCCCACCACCAGATGCACTCATGCTCATCGGCCTGCCAGAAGGCCCCACTGCTCTCTTCAAGCTTTCCAGTCTCGTCCTGAGGAAAGACATCAAGGTGAGCGCGCCTGTGTGTGTCTCATGTTGAGAGTGCATTCAGTATGTGCGTGACCCTGATATTAAGTTGAAACAAACTACAAACTACAGTAGGTTCTTTTCTTTTGAGCTCTCCAGTCTCGTCCTGAGGAAAGACATCAAGGTGAGCGCGCCTGTCAGCGTCTCTTGTTGTGAATGCGGACATGCTTGAATGTTGAAAAAAACACTACAAGTGGTATCTTCGCGCTCTCTACAGCCTCGTTTCGAGGGAAGCATCAAGGTTAGAGAACCAGGAGTGTGAGTGAGAATGAATGAGAGTGAAGTTCAGAGGCTCGTTGAAGCATGAGCGTGAGCTGTAGATTTCAGATTTAGAGTGTGTTTTTTGAGAATTCTCAAAAAACACGCTCTGGGACGCGCGGCATCGCATCTCCTCACTTCTCGAGAGTATTTTCTTATCATTCCTTTTCCACCTTTTCCCCTGTTCCATCTTTCCCCCCTCGTCTCCGCCCTCCCTCCACTTTCCTTTCATCCGTACCATGGGGTTTGTCCCGTCGTTTCTAAGAACCATACGAATCGATGGAAATAGGACCTCCGCAGCTCACCTGTCCGTTACTGACAGCTCCCCTGTTCCATCTTTCCTGCCCCTCGTCTCTGCCCTCCCTCCACATTCAGAATGCAGGGCGGGCAACAGGGCACCTCCCAGAGCTTATTCTCAACAACTTCTCCACACGCCTGGGACACCGAGTGGGACGGTGCGTGCGTGTTGGTTGGTGTGAGTGTGTGGGAGAGGTTGCGCATAAGCGTGATTGTTGTTGATGTCAACACTAAAATCTCCCAGGCACCTCATTCCGAAATCTTCTGCGCTCCTTCTTCCCCTTTCTCCTTGTTGCATCCCCCCCCGCCCCCTCCCTTTTGCCAGTCTGCTGGCGTCTCTGTTTCCGCAGGACCCGGAGTTCAAGGGCAGGAGAGTGGTCACGCTGCACAACCAGCGCGATTTCATCTTCTTCCGCCACCACAGGTGCGTGGTGTGGTAACACACACACACACACACACACACACATGCATCCGCGCACGTGCGTGCGCTCGCGTACACACACTGTGTGAGTGAATTTGAGTTGTACCAATGAAGCTGGAGTTGAAGGGCAGAAGGGTGGTCACGCTGCACAACCAGCACGATTTCATCTTCTTCCGCCACCACAGGTGCGTGGCTTAGCACGTGCACACACGCACACACACACACACATGCACGCGCGTGCACGCACACACACACACACACACACACACACACACACACACACACATGTGCGCGCGCGCACGCGCACACACACACACACACATTCACTCACTCACTAACACACACTGTGCTTCTCACACACTCACATTGCACTACGGGCCTCGCATGCACCAGGTACATATTCGAAGATCCGGAGAGTAGAGACGAGTCGCTGGGGTTGAGAAAGAAGAAGGCGAGGGAGGAGAAGGAGAGGGCGGGCCTGCTGAAGCGCAAGAAAGCGGCGGAGGCGGCGGCAGCAGGGAAGAAGACTGGCAGCTTGGGCGCCTCTCTGGGCATTTTCACGCGCCTGCAGGTGAGATGATATTGAGGAGGGTTGAGAGGAGGGGTGGATGGTGAGAGAGATTGGAAGCTTAGTTGCCTCAAGTGCCCAGATTTTTTAGGCGCCTAAAAAATCAGCTTAGTTGCCTCAAGTGCCCACGTGGGTAGTCCTAGTTGCACACTCAAGCAGATACTGGTGCTCTCGTTACGCATGGATGCCAATCTATACAGGAAATCTGAAATCTGGAAAGAATTGTATTTTCTTTTTTCTTTGCTTTCCCCCCCTTCTAAATTCTTGCCTCTCTCTCTCTCTCCCCTGTCGTCTTTCCCACCTCCTGCCTCCTCTCGCCTCCTTCCGCCTCCCTCCTCTGCCTCTGTGAGTGCAGGAGTGTGGTCCGCGATTCACTCTCAAGCTTATGAGTGTGCAGCGGGGGACGTTTGACTCAAAGGGAGGAGAGTACGAGTGGGTGTACAAGGTGAGTCACTTCGTGATGGTGGGTGTACAATGTGGGTTCCTTTTTGCGAGTGGAGGTGAGTTTCTTTCTGTGAGTGGGTGTGCAGGGTGACTTACTCTGTACGGGTGAGTGTAGGTGAGGTTGTTGCGAGTGGGGGTACAAAGTGAGTTGGTTTGTGTGATTGGGTGTAGTGAGTTCTTTCGTGCGAGTGGGTAACACACCTGTGTTGATGGCAACGCTGGCAGCCTACCCTTCATCGCTTCACAGCTTCATCCCTCCTTAATGTTTTTTGCTTGGACAGAACGACATGGACACAAGCAGGAGAAGGTTCTTCCTGTAACATCGTAGATGTAGATTCACAAGTAGAGCTAACACCAGCACAGTCCTTCCACGTGCAACCCCATCATGAGAAGCCAGCTGATAGGAGATGCATGCCTGCCATGCCGTATATTTTACTTTGAGAAGTCATTTGTTAACCAGTGAGGTTGTTTGGGGAAAAGGCCTACCCTACAGTAAACAGTAGGGAAGCATGTGATGTGAATTTGGAGGATGCAAGCATTGCTTTCGTGGTAGTGCCTAGAAATGAAATGTGAGATGAGATGAGACCCCGTATTGGTACCAAGGCAGGCCCTCTCAGACACCAGAGAATAAGCTGAAGCCTGAACCGACTCCAAGGAGCATCGTGCAAGCTGCATTTTGTAGGCGCCTCAACAAGCTTGAACCGACTTCTAGTAAGATGTTGCTGCTAGCTGCATGCTGGGCTTATGCAATGCAACAGGGCACAGCTAGTGGAGGGCAAGCAGGTGCTTGGATCAGTGCTGCCGACACCAATCCAAAGCACAAGTACCGTACCGGCAGGCAGAGACGGCAACAACTACCACGCATCATCCCTCCCTGACCCAGTGCTTTGAAAAATGGTGAAACAAAATATCTCGGTCACCGCGCATTGCAGCTGCTTGCAGCTGCTTCCTTCCGATTGCTTCGCGTCTGCCTCTTCATTTTCAAATCTCTCAAAACCAGCCGTTGCTGCTCCTTCAATCTTCCCTCCTACTGCTTCCTCTGCCTCTTAAACCGCTCCAACGCTCCCAGCGCCGCCTCCTTCCCTTCCTCCTCCCCGCCCTTCTCAGCCGCCTCCCTCTCTCTCTTCGCCATTTCCTCTGCCTTCCCAGCCAGAGCACCAAACACCCCTGCAGGCACCGACACCTGCGTCACCCCCACCTTGCTCCTCCCCTTGCCCTCCCCTCCCTCTCCCTCTCCCTCCTCCCCTTCCTCCTCCTCTTCCTCCTCCTCATCAGCCAATTCAATCTCCTCCGGGTTCGCCTGTTGGGATTTCACCCCTGCTCCTGTCTCCTGCTCTTGAACCGTCCCTCCGCTCACAAACATGGGCACGCGCGGTTTCGCCGCCCCCTCCCCTGCTCCTCCTGCTGCAGCTTTCCCAGCAGCCGCCTGCTCTAAAGCTTCCATGCTATCCATCCCCCCAGCAGCTGGGACGTCAAGTAAGCCTTCCCCAGGTGCGCCCTCCCTGCCCCGGCCAGTATCACCTTCCCGGGGCACGGAGGGGGTTGACTTCATGAGGTATTCGGGCAGAATGAAGTGCATCTGTGGGCGTGGAGAGGGGTGAGATGCGGTGGGGATGGGATGAAGGGACAGAGAGTGTGGGCAAGGGCGAGACATGAGAGGAGAGTGTTGACCTCATGAGGTACTCGGAACGGGGAGTTGAGGGGGGAGTGGCAGGGAAGAAAGAAGGTGGGGAGAAGTGACACATGAGAAGAGGGGCTGTGTTGCTCGTGAGGCTCCACCTAACAACCCATCTGGCTGTGCCACCCACCTGGCTGTGGCACCCACCTAGCACCCCCACCCACCTGGCTGTAGCTAGCGGACACAGAGCGCTCAACCCTGAGCATGTCACGGAACGTGTCCTCATTCCCTCACCGACCTGACTGTACCACCGACCTCGCCGACTGTAGCACCCCCACTCACCTGGCTGTAGCTAGCAGAAACGGAGCGCTTGATCTGCAGCATGTCACGAAACGTGTCATCATTCCCGTGAGCGATCTCAAACGCGTTCCACGCCTCCCAGAACTCCCCGTCGGACCGCGGGTCAGCGAGCAACTCACAAACCTAACAACTCATCTGGTTGGCTGAAGAACCCACCTCACACCCTCACGCACCTGGCTGTAGCTAGCCGATACAGATTGTTTGATCCGAAGCATGTCCCGGAACGTGTCCTCATTCCCGTGAGCAATCTCAAACGCGTTCCACGCCTCCCAGAACTCCCAGTCGGACCGCGGGTTGGCAACACTTCCTAAACCTGACAACACATGTACCTGTAGCACCCACCCCGCTGTAGCTCACACCCGCCTGTAGCAGCCCCACCCACCTGGCTGTAGCTAGCCGAAACGGATCGCTTGATCCGAAGCATGTCCCGGAACGTGTCCTCATTCCCATGCGCGATCTCAAACGCGTTCCACGCCTCCCAGAACTCCCCGTCGGAGCGCGGGTCCGCCAGCTGGCTGGCGTGCACAAAGATGGCTCTCGCGCGGTCGATCTCCCCCAGCCGCCTCTCCAGCGCCGCGTACCGCAGGCACATGCGCTTCACATCCGCGTCTGGTAGGCCAGACTCGATGGCTCTCTGTGGTGAGGAAGGGGATTGGGGAGGGAAGTGGATAAGACGAAGGGGAGGGAAGTGGATAAGACGAAGGGGAGGGAAGATGGGGGGAGGGGTATGGCGGCATATAAAAGATGCACATACATTTGGGAATCTGGGGTGTAAGAAATTCGGGGCTAAACAAGGAGGACGGTAATCCACTGCATTTCACCACTAATGACCCAGCGGACGACATCCCACGCACCTCGTAGATATCGCGTGTCTTGGCCACCCCAAACAGCTCAGCAGCACATGCAATAAAGAGCTCTCACACGCCCATCCTCTGCTCCTCCGGTGACTGTTGAAGTGTCTTTTGCCTCAACCTAACCACCCCACGCACCTCGTAGATATCGCGTGTCTTGGCCACCCCAAACAGCTCAGCAGCACATGCAATAAAGAGCTCTCACACGCCCATCCTCTGCTCCTCCGGTGACTGTTGAAGTGTCTTTTGCCTCAACCTAACCACCCCACGCACCTCGTAGATATCGCGTGTCTTGGCCACCCCAAACAGCTCAGCCGCCCGCGCAATGAAGAGCTCATACACGCCCATGCGCTGCTCCTCCGGCACAGCCTGTGCTGCTCGCTCATACACGGCCATGGCATGCCGTGCCAGCCCATACTCCTCCTCTAGCTTTGCATAGGCCAAGTAGAGTGGCTTGCAGTCCGTCGCTGGGGCCTGGGGGGGGGACAAAAGGATTGGGGAGGGAGAACGGATTCAGGGTTTAAGGTTTGGGATATTGGTGTCTTGGGAACCTGTTGCTGCGTAAGCGCGGGGGCTTGCGATCGTTCGCTGTAACATAGAAAGGGGAGAAGGGAAGGGGGGTATGGGGAATAAAGAATGGGATGTACCTGCACTTGCTGTTTGAGCCAACTAAGAAAAGAAAAGTGGTCCGTAAACTGGCTCCTTGCACACAGCCATGTTTTGAGGCGTCTCAAAACTCCTTGCACATGAGGAACATGAGGAAGCAAGCTTAGCGCAAGAGAACTGTCTGAATCAAACAAACGCTCTGCACTCACACTCGCGGGTGTGTGCTCGAACAAGTCCCGTGCACAATGAGGCATGGCACTCACACTCTCAAGAGCCTGTTCAAAGAGATCTCGCGCCCGCTCCAGCTTCTTCCCTCCGTAGCGCTGAACGAACTTGGAGAGGTAGGTGGTCCAGATGTCGCGCGCGTGCGGGTACTTGAATATATTCACTCCACGCTCGTACACCTTGAAGCTGTCCTCGAAATACTTGTGCTCCTGGGGTTGGAAGTTGGAATAAGAGCCAAGGCGTTACATACACACACGGTATGAAGAAGAGAAGGATAGGTTATCAAAGGGTTAAAGAGAGTGGGCTCAAAACAGCTCTACACCTTCAAAATGTGCTCAACCTACTAGTGCTCCTGAGATTGAGACTGCGCCTCACATACAGAGCGCAAAACTATCAAAGAGGCACAGACACTTCAAGCAAGGCTAAGAGCACCTCACCTCGAGCATGAGTGCGTAGTTGATGATGATCTGAGGCGTGGCGATCTTGAGGTCAATGATTCGGGTATAGTCCGCCTGGTACACTCCATTGCACTTACCACGCCTTCCCCTTCCCCACCCTCTCATACTCACTCACCTCGAGCATGAGCGCGTAGTTGATGATGATCTGGGGCGTGGCGATCTTGAAATCAATGATTCGGTTATAGTCCGCCTGGTACACTCCATTGCACTTACCACGCCTTAACCTTCCTCACCCTCTCATACTCACTCACCTCGAGCATGAGTGCGTAGTTAATGATGATCTGAGGCGTGGCAATCTTGAGGTCGATGATTCGATCGTACACCGCCCGGGTGGTCTCTAGAGTGCCCAGGCTCTCCTCCAGGTCCACGTACAGCGTCCACACCTTGAGGCTGCGATACACCTTCAGCTGCGGCCTCTCGTCTCCTTCCGCCGCCGCTGTTTGCTCAAAAAAAGGGAACAAAATATAAGAAAAAGTCAAGGTGTTATGAATCCCCTCCACAGGCTCTCCTCCAGGTCCACGTACAGCGTCCACACCTTGAGGCTGCGATACACCTTCAGCTGTGGCCTCTTGTCTCCTTCCGCCGCCACTGTAGTTCCAAAAAAGGGACGAAATAAGGGAAAAGGCAGGGTGTTAAGAGTCCCCAGGCTCTCCTCCAGGTTCACATACAGCATCCACACACCTTGAGGCTCCAATATACCTTCAACTGCGGCCTCTTGTCTCCTTCTGCAGCGGCTACTGTGGTCAGCAGCATGGACAGCAGCAGAGGGAGCAATGGGAAAAGAGGCATGTTAAGGGTCACGGTGCCATTTTCGATCAACTCAACACTCAACCCACGCTCCCCCCTGTATCTGCATACAAACACTGTCCAAGCCTCCGTAGCTCCTGCTCCTGCATACTAACAATCAGGTATTCTCCAAGCTTCCAAATCACAATCCCTAAACCTTTCATCACGAACCAACCCCCCAGCAGCGCTCACCTTGCCGCAGCACAGCCACTGACGGCTGCAGCGTTGCTCGCCTCAAAAGCTCCCTTGCCCCGTGGAAGTTGTGATGCTGCACCTCCATCTCCGCCCACTCACACCACTTCTCTCCTTCCCCTCACCTCACAACCCTCGCCCGCCCAGCCCCCCAGCACCCCAACCCCCCAGCAGCGCTCACCTTGGCGCAGCACAGCCACTGACGGCTGCAGCGTTGCTCGCCTCAGCAGCTCCCTCGCCCCGTGGAAGTTATGATGCCGCACTTCCATCTCCGCCCACTCACACCACACCGCCGCAACGTCCTCCACCGCTTTCAACCGCGCCTGAACGGCCCGCTCCAGCACCCGCCTCGCATTCCCCAAGTCCCCATGCTTCTCATACAGCTTTGCAAACGCCACCCAGAGCGTATGCGGCTTCCCCACCGCCTGAAACGGATCCACGGTCTTCACAGCCTCGGTGTAGGTCAGGATCTGACGCTCAGGATTGGTTTGGAAGAGCTTGGCGCGCTTATGCCACTCGTGCACGTTGTGGGGGTTCTGGCGGAGGAGGACTGCGGAGACGAGCTCGGGGCGGCGGTCCATGAGGGCTTCTAAGCGCGCCAAGCGCAGATCCGCGTCTGCTGTTCGGAACATCCAGTCTAACGGCTTCTTCTTCTGCTGCTTCTTGGCCAGATTTGCCCCGTCTTGTACCTTCTGCTGCTGCTGCTGCTGTTGGTGGAGCTGCTGCAGCTTCAGCAGTTGTTGTTTCGTCAGCTTCTTCCCCTTGGGCTGTCCCTCCTTGTCTGCTTGACCCTCTGCCTGCTGCTGCTCCTGCCCGTCCTCTCTCCTCGCCGCTTCCTCTGCTCCTGCACCCGCCTCCTCCCCCTCCGCCACTCCGTCCTCTTCCTCTTCCCACCACTCCTTTTCCTCCTCTTCCCCCTCCGCCTCCTCCTCCTGCTCCTCCTCCTCTCCAGCAGTGAGCTCTAGTTTGGCCGCCAGCATACTCTCTTCGAACTGCGCCAAGGCGTCGAACACCACGCTGAAATCGCGCACCGTCATCACACTAGTTAATCCGTCCTCGTACACGTCTCTAGCGCGCTCAAACAGCCCTCGCCGGATGTAATAATCCGCTAAGGACGTCCATAATCGCCCTACCTCGTGTGAAAACCGCCGAATTCCGCTTCGCAGAATCGCGTCCACTTTTAGGGTTCCGCTTCCGCCTATCCCCCCTCCGCCTCCGCTTCCGCTTCCGACTGCTCCGCCTCCCCCCCGGCCTCCCGCGTCCCCGTGCATCACCTCCGCGTGCCGCGTGAGCAAATCACAGAGCTGCAGCCACAGCTGGTGCCGCGTTCTCCCGCGCACCGACACGAATTTCTCGTCGTTTAAAGCCGACGCGAGCCGCTCCGCCGCTTCGCGCCATTCCTGCGCTTCGACCAAGAACTCCACGTACTCCTCCACGCGCAACGGATCGAACCGCAAAAACCGGCGGAATATCCGGCGAGCGGTCTCGATGGGAATGCCAGGCTGGCGGACGAATCTAAGATACGGATCCCAGAGCCTGTCGTGTTGCGTCGCGGGCAGGGATCGAAGCGCACGATCAAACGTGCGACGCGCGCGCGTTACTAGCTTCTGGTCGTCTACCAACGCGGATAGGTACTCGAGCCAAATGCGCGGCATGCGGTGCATCGTAACTAAAGCGCGCTCGAACGCGTTGTTCAAAGCGGCGTGCGCAGCGTGATTCGCGGGAAGCCCGCGGACCGCCGCGCGGCGTTCCTTAAGGTACGCCGCCCATAGCTTGTAAGATCCCGGGAGAGCTACTAACGCGCGCTCGTAAATCAAGTACCGCTTCCGCGCGGGCGAATCGCGCCGCGCCGCGAGGTACCGCCACCAGAGTTTAAGAGAAAAAGGGTTTCTGAGAATCTCTTCCTCGTATAGCAGATCGTCCTCGGACGGGAGTAGACCTTGCGGGAGCGACGACATGGCGGAGGACGGCGTGAAAGCAGGCGGACCAGGCGGAAGCGGGGTTGGGGTAAAAACAGGCGGAGCTGGGATTGGGTGACTTAGGTCAACGATTGGGGGAAACCTGCGTTGAGAAAAACGACGGTTGACAGTACGATATGGTACGGCAGCAGGACGTGACAGACGAGCTCCCGCCGGATCCTGCGGATTCGTATTTCGGGTGAATGGGATGAATTTACGGAAAACTCGAGGCAAATGGTCGGCGGGAATGGAGTAGCGGGAGGGTTAGGAGATCAAGAGGCTAGACGCATTCTGAGAATTCTGCGGTTTCCCGCTTAGGTAGCACTTCAGCGACGTTACATAAAGAGCGACAATTCCCCAAATACGCCTGCAACTACCGTATACGGACGGGCATCTGGGTCTGGGCCTCGAGATCTCCTCAAAAGTGCGACACTGTCTAGGTGACCTAAACTCCTACCTCTCCGCTTAGCCAAATGCTAATGGTCCCGCCTCGAGGACGAAGGTCACAAAAATCCACGTTAATATAGCACTCGCTGGTAAACAGGTATCTCTATTGGAGAGAAATGAAGGGCACAAAACAATTAGATATTTGGAACATCAACTTCCACAATGGCTCCCAGGAATAACAATTTTGTCACCTCTTGTTACTGTAGCGAATGTATACAGTCCAAGCCAAAGAGACCGCAATGCCTAATGCTCCTACCGCTATACCAGCAAGCAACAATCTGTCAACCAACTCCCCGCCCATTCCTGCTCCTCTCCCACATGCAGGAACCGCAGTTGTGGAGTTCACTTCTCCTTCCACAGCTGCTGCCAAAACACCACTGGAGGACGAGCTTCCCGTGTTGCAGCACTTGTCCCCTTCTGCAGAAGCAGCAGCAGGAGTATCACCAGAGCAAGCGCAAGCTCCTTCACTCCCTCCACCACAACACCCATCTGACGCTCCCCCCATTCCTGCCTCCTGATGCTCCTTCGACTGCTGCTCCTGCAGCAATGGTGGTAGCGGTGGCTGCTCTTCAGTCTCAACCTGCTGCTGCTCCTTGCTCTGCTGAGCCTTGTTAAGAATATCTAGGCTTCCGGCAGCAACAGGCAGATACTTCACTGGGGCAGACACCGGCACGCCAATCACAGACCACCGCCCGACTGTGATGATGCGGACAAACAAGTCCGACCCAAAAAGCGCACTCTTGCCACCACTGGTCGGCTCATTCGCTTTCGCCGTCCGCCCATTGGCTGTCGCAATTTGCCCCAAAGCTTTTTTATCTTGATCCACGGCGTCATCTGAAGACACACTGGCTGCTGACGTGTCACCTGGTGGCTTGCCACCTGGCAGCTTATCCAATGCCACGTCATCAGGGGGTACGAGCACCTGCACGTAGCTATCCGTGTGGCCGACAAGCTTCGTCTTATCTGCGGCAACATCGGTGATCCAGACCCTCTGGGTGGTTCCAAGAAGGTTCGTGTAGGGAGTGAAGGACTCTATGAGGGCGGTGAGTGCTCTGCTGCGCTGCTTCACCTCCCCTGATGGCACTTTGGGCATGCGCGCTGCTGGCGTGCCTGGAGAGATATGTTGGGGTGGGGTTCGAAACAGAAGAGGCTTCCTTATGAACCCTTAATGGCACCTTGGGCATGCGTGTGACGGGGTCCTTGGCTCGAATGGACAAACAGCACAATTGGAAAAGTAGGGAAAAAAAAGGGGGGTACTCATACAGAAATGTGGCAGGATAGCTCGCCAAGGATGTAACTGCAGGCACATTCGGGGAAAGCTACATCTGCAGGGATTACCTGGGGGGAGTTTTATATGCATGTGGAGGAGGATACACCTGCAAGGCCCACCTGGAAAGGCTATTACTGCAAGGGAGGCTACAGCTATAGAGACAGGTCTTACCTGGGCGGGGGTAGAACTGGGAGATGTGCACTTGAGCAAACTTGTACTTGCGAATCAGATCCAAGGTCTGCTCAAAGTCAGCTGCTGTCTCTCCTGCCATGGTGGGGTTGGGTTGGGTGGTGTGGGATGGGATGGGGTGGTGTGGGATGGGGTGGGATCGGGTGGGGTGGGGTTTGGGTTGGGAGAGACATGGAGTGCAGTCTACGAAATGGCTTAACGGATTGCCAAAAATGAGGTCAGCTGTGGTGATCTCCTATCACGGCCTGACGTGTCATAACTCAAGAGTTTAGAGCAAGTCCCCAACACACCCCATATGTTTGTGGTAAGAAAGGCTATGAACCACACACACACCTGGAAAGCCGCAGATGATATCTGTTGCGATCTCCAAGCCAGGCACAAGGGACATAAGTGTGTCCACCACGCGGCAAAACTCCTCCACCGTATACCCTCTCTTCATGCCCTCCAGCACGCTGTTGCTGCCCGACTGCACGCTGCTGCTACCCCATTGCACCAGAACAAAACGAGACTCCCAATACCCAAAGCAGGCAAACCCCTATGCATATGGTGGTTTAGGTTCTACACAACGTACCTGGGAAGCCACAGATGATGTCGGTGGCGATCTCCAAGCCAGGGACCAGCCCCATGAGTGTGTCAACCACCCGGCAGAACTCCTCCACTGTATACTCCCTCTTCATGCCCTCCAGCACGCTGTTGCTGCCCGACTGCACGGGCAGGTGCAGAAACTTGTACACGCAGGCGTGGTTGAGGATTTTCGCGATTTCGGGCAGATGCTCGAGAATGTAGGGCGGGTTGGTCATGCCGACTCGCAGCATGCAGCGGCCGTCAGGGGGGAGGGAGGTCACGAGGGCGGAGAGGAGGGAGGGCAGGTCGCTGCCGATGTCCCGACCATAGGCGCCCGTGTCCTCGCTGCTTAGCCAGATCTCTCGCACTCCCTCTGCTACTGCTGCCCGCACCCTGTCCACCTGGAGGAGGTGGGGGGGAGGAAGTGAAGTGGCAAGATACGTTCTCATAGGCCCCCGTATCCTTGTTTTTCAGCCAGATCTCCCTCACGTCCTCTGATACAGCGCCCACACCCTGTCCCACCTGTAAGGGGAAGGGGGGTGGCAAGAGAGACGGGAGCATATGGGTTCCAAGTTCCAAAGCATGGACCACGGACGTAGGCGACCGAGTCCTCGCTGCTCAGCCAGATTTCTGAGGAGCCTCAAAAGTCGTCTCTCCACCCGCAATTTTTTAGGCGCCTCCAAAGCTCCAACGCATGGACCACAGACGTAGGTCCTCGCTGCTCAGCCCGATTTCAGCACGCCCTCTGCTACCGCTACCCTCACCCTGTCCACCTGGAGGGAGATCAAACGTATCCGCACATTCAAAGGGTAGGAGCTGCTTCATCCTTCATGCTGGCATGCTTCATCCTTCGTGCTGGCATGCTTCATCCTTCATGCTGGCATGCTTCATCCTTCATGCTGGCATGCTTCATCCTTCATGCTGGCATGCTTCATCCTTCGTGCTGGCATGCTTCATCCTTCATGCTGGCATGCTTCATCCTTCATGCTGGCATGCTTCATCCTTCATGCTGGCATGCTTCATCCTTCGTGCTGGCATGCTTCATCCTTCATGCTGGCATGCTTCATCCTTCATGCTGGCATGCTTCATCCTTCGTGCTGGCATGCTTCATCCTTCATGCTGGCATGCTTCATCCTTCATGCTGGCATGCTTCATCCTTCATGCTGGCATGCTTCATCCTTCGTGCTGGCATGCTTCATCCTTCATGCTGGCATGCTTCATCCTTCATGCTGGCATGCTTCATCCTTCATGCTGGCATGCTTCATCCTTCATGCTGGCATGCTTCATCCTTCATGCTAGCATGCTTCATCCTTTGTGCTGGCATGCTTCATCCTTCATGCTGGCATGCTTCATCCTTCATGCTGGCATGCTTCATCCTTCATGCTGGCATGCTTCATCCTGCAATACGCACACGCGCCCAGGGAGCCCGCGCTCACAAGAGCATGCTGTACCCATGAACTGAGTCGCCTAAGGAATAGGCTCAAGCGTGTGGAAGAGGACATCCACTTACCAGCACAGGCAGAGGGTAGGAGCCGAGGTGGCCTCTGGCGTGCTTTGTCTTGCAGTAGGTGCATGCACCCAGGCAGCCCACACTGATGGGCACGATCTCCACCCACTTGTTGCGCCGCACCTGGTGGCGTGGGGGCGGGAGTGGGGAGGAAGGTGGGAAGAGAAGGAGAAGGTGTGTGAAAAGGGGGGGTTGGGGACGGCTAAAACATCATTCAACGCAGCACACACTGATCGGCACGATCTCCACCCACCTGTAGCGTGGGTGAGTGGATTTGAGATTAGTAGTCTCACAAAACCGTCTCACCACACAGGAGGTGAGAGAAACGTTGGGGTTGAAACCCCCCTGGGGGAACAGAGAGACAGACAGAGACACTACTCTACCTTGGGCAGGTCGAGTGCGGGTAGGGCCCGGTTGCGGGAGAGCAGGCGGACGGTGTTGCCCTTGAGCGTCTCCTCCACCACCTCCACCACACGGTCGATCTGCTGCACCCCCACCACACTCACTCCCTCGCCCTCCGCCACCCCACTGTCACCCTGTGGGTAGAGCAAGCGAGGAGGCACAAGGTGGCGGGGGAAGAGGCAAGGACATAAGGGAGGTTGATCGCAAGGGCGTCTCTTCCACCACCTCCACCACTCGGTCGATCTGCTGCACCCCCACCACACTCACTCCCTCGCCCTCCGCCACCCCACTGTCGCCCTGACAAGGAGGGAGGGCAAGAGGCCAGGTCCGAGACAGGAGCAGAGGCAGGGGTGGTAAAAGGGAGGAGGCAGGGAAAAAGGCAGGGGGCATGAGAAAGGCGTCTCTTCCACCACCTCCATCACATGGTCGATCTGCTGCACTCCCACCACACTCACTTCCTCGCCCTCCGCCACCCCCCTGTCACCCTGATGCGGAGAAGTATGGGGGTAGAAAATGGGTAAAGAAGAGAGGGGGGAAACGCAGGACGAAGGGGCGGAGGAAGGAGAGGGGCAGGCATTGCGGAACCAGGAAATGCAAGGGTTTCTCAGAAGAAAGACATACCTTCCATCACAGGGCGATCTGCTGCACGCCCCCCACACTCACTCACTCCCTCGCTAACCCGTCATTGCATGAATTCTTAATGGGTTTACTGCAGCAGCACTTTAGTTAACAATTACAGCCAATGGGGGCACACGCATGTGGGGAGTGGGAGCGGCGAAGGTGGGGATTGGTTGGGCTGGGTGGGGCCTGGTGGGGAGTGGGGAGGGCTGCCTGGCGGGTTGGGGTGTGATGCATGGAGGCAGAGTAGACGAAAATTACTATCTCTCGGCCTGAGTACCCTGGGTGCTCCCACACACCTGATGCACGTGATGTCTTGCTGCTACATGCGCCGCCCTGCAAACATGGGAGTGGAACAGAACGGAACGGAACAGAACGCAACGGAACGCAGCGGAACGGAACGGAATGGACAAGAGGACACACCTGGGGCACGCAGCCTGCGAGCACGAGTCGTTTGCTCAGCTCCCTGCCCTTGCGGATGAGCGTATCCATTGCAGACTGTGATGGGTTCTTCACCGTGCACCTGGTGGGGGGGAGAGGTCAAGCGGAGCAGGGGGGCGAAGTTGTTAAAGCGCAGACAAATGTTGTTCTTGACGTGCCTCAACGATAGCTCCCTGCCCTTGCAGATGAGAGTGTCCATGGCAGACTGTGACGGTTTCTTCACCGTGCATCTGGTGGTGGGCAAGGCAGGGCAGGTACAAGAGGGGTCGAGGGGAGAATGAAGGAGGTCATGGTATGAGACGGGCACTCACGTGCATATGAAGGAAACTTCACCAGGAGGTACCCAAAAACCCTTGCTTCCTAGCCACCCACCTGACTCGCACTCACGTGTTGATGATCCACAGGTCCGCCTCAGATGGCACCTCCACCAGTTGGTATCCAAACGCCGCCAATTGCCCAGCCATGTATTCACTGTCGCTCTGCCGTGGGGTTGGGGGAGTGCGGTGGGGGAGGATAGGAGTTGGAAGAGATAGGAAAATAGGAGAGGAGAGGAATATGGGAGAGGAAAGTATGGAAAAGATACGAAAGAAGGAGAAGAGGGGGATCAATAGGGAAGGAGAGGAGGGGAAGATATGATGAGGAGGAGAGGAGGGGAAAGGAGAGGAGGCGGGTGGTGGAATAGAGATTCTAATTATTTGCCATGAACGAAACGGGTGTTGCCAACAAACTAGCCGTGTACTCATTGCCTCCCTGCCAGTCATAACGGAGGGAGTCTGGTGAAAGAATTCGATTTTCAAGGTACAAGGTTTGGTTTTAAGGCAAGGGCAGAGGCAACTTTGTGTCACCAGGCAATGACCAAATCTGCAGTTGTCCATGTGCTGTGCCCCATCACATCCGCGTATGGTGCCAAGAAAGTCTTCTTCAAGATACAAGAAGCAATTGAAACGATAGCACAAAGCCCCTGGAAGGGTTTAAGAGAGGTACCTGGTTATGAGAGCAGCCAAACGTCTTGATGAATATAGACTGCAGGCGAGGGAGAAAGGTGAGAGCAAGGGCCAAGCAGGGACTTATTAGAACGAGAAGCCACACAATTGGGTGGGTAAAGCGGGCGGGGCAGTTGCAAAAGCAAGAACTCAAAGAGCGCCCATTCACACCTAACAGGCTGACTTGCTGTAGAAAAACGCGAGATTCATGTTTACCTGAACACACAAGTTTTCCTAAACTGTAATGATGAATACTGACTGGAATCAATCAATGGATACTGACCGAATTTCATCCCCATTATAAGCATACCTGCGTTCCAGGAACAGAAGCCGGCGCACTCTCATCCTCGCGATGGATCTCATCACCATGCTCGGCCAACGCATTCGCTGCGCCATCCCCGATACGAGCAATTCCGCTGCCAGCTTCTGGCTTTGAAACCCTCAATTCGCTGTCCGAGACCTCGCCTGCCTGCTTCAGACCGTTCTCAATGACACCGTTACCGATGTCGTTTCCGTTACCGTCAATGCGAACTGCGGATGACTTCTTCGGCCGTCGCCTAACAGCAGGCCGGCCGCCTCCTACTTCAGGAAGGGGTGCTTGGGAATCAACGGTTGAGATCTCTCCATTCAAGCTGTTTACGGCGCTTTTGCCGCTTTGTTTACGACCTAATCCGGCTCGCCTGTCCTCGTCAAAAGGGTGGTTACCCGATGCCAGGTCCTCGATGTCAACCATCGTGGCGCCTTCGATGCGGTTGGTAGCTTCGATCAGGCAATAGTACCAAGGTGATGGAACTAAAAACTAGTCAATGAAGCGAAGTGCCTCAGGAAAACTACCAAGGTTCATTTTCCTCGTTATGATTTCAAATGAGCACATATCGACGCCAGTACAGTAATATTTTGCGTTGTAAGAACCTTTATGCTCCTTCTTTCACATGAACATGGGCCCAATCAAGATGAACAAATCGGAGAGAAAAGAAAAGAAAACCAAAAACAAGACATAATTTCCAGGGAAAATATGTCAATGGTAACTTACATTGGGGCACTATAACGCCAACGGTAACGATTTCAACGCGTTTGGGAACCCGTTTAACGCGTTTGGTAACTCCCTTAACATGTTTGGTAACTCGCTGATGTTACAACTGAAGGGTCGTAGTAGATAGGATAAGGTTGCCAAGTGTAAGAGAGAGAACTGTGAAGTCTCTGTAGTGGCCTTGTTAATAAATTGAAGGAGAACAAGATGATTATAAGATAGGAGTGCAATGATATAAATAGAAATCCTAGCTAGCCCTGTACTCTGGGAGGTACATTCCCTTATTAACTGAATTACATTGCTACAGTAACCCACGACTATTGCCATTCTAGACAGTTACCGCGTTGCACTTTGCAACTGCCTCCTGCGGTTACTGGGCAGTCAAGGCTCACGACCGTCGACTGTCTTCGACTGTTGACCTTCGAGTGACCCTCGACCGTCCGCGTGCTCTATATAAGCTATTGCGGTACTAGTACATGCGTTCACTTCATTATGGAGTGACGCGAGAGTGGAGAACCTTCGGGAATGTTTTTAATAACATTTCGGGATCTTCCAACACTCCCCTTCATTCCTGAAGGTGGGCCACGTGGGACTTCTTGGTGATCCCGCAAAGGTTGGAAAAGTGCTGGAACTGTTGACGTGGCATTTTCTTTGTCAGGAAGTCGGCTGCCATGTCACCAGTCGGGCAGTACGTGAGCTTGACCTTGCCCTTGTCGATTTCGTCTTTGACGAAGAAGTAGCGAAGGGCGATGTGTTTTGTGCGGTTCACGAAGACGGGCTTGTTCGCGATCTTGATCGCGCACTTGTTGTCGAAGAGTAACGTGAAGCGCCCGTTCGTCGTTACTTTCACTTCCTGCAGGAGTTCCATTGGGTACAATCCTTCGCGAACAGCTGCGCTGGTGACGATGAACTCTGCTTCAGCAGACGAAAGAGCGATGAGTTCCTGCTTCTAAGAGTTCCATGAGATGAGTCCACCAGGTTGAAACTGAAAATGAATCCTAGGCGGAAGCGTCTGTTGTCAACTTTCAGAAACTAGGTAGGAATGTGTTGACTATCGAGTGATTTTGGTACAAGAAAAAAACCTAAAGGGTTGTACCCCATAGTATCTACCCTACTACAGCCTACCCAAAACAATAACACATGTATATGTTTGACACACCCCATAGGCAAAGTGGGGGAGAGCAAGAGGTCACAAGACCAGACAAGGAAACCAAAACAAGCTCAGGGTGGATCACAACGTCACCACACACACTGAGCATAAGCAAACGGCCACAAGGCCAGTTCACATGCAGAGGTATATATGCAACAAGAACAGTACAATGATCTCTACCTAGCAAAAGCAAGCATGCAAGTATATATGTATATAGATCACAGTACAAGCAGAGAATACAACAAGTCTGGAAACCTAGGCACAAGGCCCAACAAAATACAAAAGCGTTGATGGTCACCAGACAGAAGTGCCTTGGTGAATATATCAGCAGTGTTGGCCCGAGTGGCCACGTGAGCAAGGCGAAGCTGACCCCGCTGCTGCAACTCTCGAGCACGGAAGTAACGCAGAGCGATGTGCTTCGCTCTGTGCTCCAGTCTATGCTCATGTCACAAGGCAATGGCGGCCTTGTTGTCTATGTACAGAACTGGAGGAGAACGAGGCCGCTCTCCCACGTCGGTCAGCAGGTAGGTGGGCCAATGTAACTCCTGTGCAGCCATGGCTATGGCGTAGATCTCAGCCTCACAACAGGAGCTGAGAACAGAAGACGAGCGTGTAGACCGCCAAGAAACAAAGCCGGAGCCAAGGCTGAATGAGTAACCTTGTGACGACCACTGCATAGCCTGGTCGTCAACCCAAGAAGCGTCTGAGTGCCCAGTGAGGACAACTGGACTCCGCCCTCCAAGCACGAGCCACATGTCTAATGTGCTGTACAAGTAGCACAGTAACCTCTTAGCAGCATCCTTGTGCACCTTTCGGTGCCGACCAGGAGCCACGTCGCGAGCAAGAAGGCCAAGAGGGTACGCAAGGTCAGGACGAGTGCAGTTCATCAGGTAAATGTGGCAGCCCACTAGCTCTGGGTGAGGACCACTCGGCTCTACGGACTCGTCCGAAGGTGGAGCTGAGAGCGAGTGACCTGTAGCCAGAGGAGTTGCTTGTGCCGAGGACCCGGTGAAACCGAAGCGCTGAAGGACCTGCTGCACCATGTGTGAGTGAGTCAGTGTGATGGTGCGGCGTGCTCTGTCCCGGGTGATCTACAAGCCAAGGTAACTGCGCAGCTCACCCAGGTCTGTTGACGTGTGTCTCTTCTGCAGCTTCGACTTCACCAGGGCGAGAGCCTCGGAGTCAGCAGTGGCAAAGACCAAGTTGTCGATGTACACGAGGATGTAGAACGGCGGCAGCAAAGTGTCGGTGCGCAGAAGCAGCGACGGGTCAGTAGTCGACGGAGTAAACCCAAGAGCGGCAAGTGTCGTCCTCAGTATGTCGTGCCACTCACGTGGCGCCTAGTGGAGACCGTATGCCGGCCGCCGGAGGCTCCACTGGGTACTCGGGGGGAACAACCCAGTGAAGCCTGGCGGGCGGCGCAGCCAGATCTCCTCGTGCAGGTTGCCCTACAAGAAAGGTGTGCTCGTGAAGCTCATAATCACGCTGGGCGGCAATGTGCAGCAGCACCCAAAGAGTGGTCATCTTCGGGGTCGGGGAGAAGGTCTGGAAGAAGTCAACTCCCTCACGCTGACTGAAGCCTCGAGCAACGTAACGAGCCTTGAAGACAGGCGGAGAACCTGGCGGCCGCTTCACCCTGAAAATCCACATGTCGTCAACGTTGTTCGCCCCGGGAGGAGGAACCTCATCGACGTACGTGCCTGTGGACTTCCAGGATGCCATCTCTGCGTCCATGGTTGTCTGCCACCAGGAAGAGTACTCACCCGCGATCACCTCAGCGTAAGAGCGCGGGGCCGGGATGTCTGGTGCATCCGGGTCTCCCTCAGGGGCAAGCAGAATGGCCACGAGATGAGGCGCAGCGGCCGCAAGACACTCAAGGTCCTCGTGCCTATCCTCAAGGACGTCCGTGCTAAGAGCACATTCACCTCTGACAGACGGAGGATAGACAGAATCAGACTCAGCAACAAGACTAGCAGCGTAGTCTAAGCGACAGGCAGCAGCAAAGTCAACAAGCTCAGCGACTAGGGCAGACGCAGCAGTGGACTCAAACAAAGGGTCAATGCCAACAGTGGCTAACAGACGCGTAACAGTAGGGTGATCAGTACGAATTTGGTCAGACTCAGGGTCCCCAACGTCAGGCAGAGAGGACGCAAGGGAAGACGGTAGAGGAACACGCGGCGGAGGAGAGGAAGGACGACAGACTACAAGGCGGGTGCCTGGGACAGCCAGCTAACGCAGACGAGGAACACGACGACCGGAACGACCAGAACGGACAGGCGAGACCGGACGCGACGCAGGCTCATGACGCTCAGGAAGGCCCCTTGTTTGCTCGGTGTACGGAGAAGGAGCAGGCAGCGGTGAGTAAGGCTGTAGCGGAAGACTAGTGGACGAAGGGAGACTAAGAACCTGGTCAAGCGCAGAGTCAGGCGGTGGCTGAGACGGCGGAGGCGGCGGAGCGAAGAACAGGCGCGGCTATGCAGTGCCACCAGCACCAGCAGCTCCAGCACCTCCACCAGCTCCAGAAACCTTAGCGCCAGCTCCTCCAGGACCAGATTCAGCACCCCCACTACCGGCACCTCAAGTCCCAAGGTCTCCAGCCTCAGTGCCTCCAATAGCAGCACCCCCAGTCCAAGGGTCTCCAGCAGTAGCACCCTCAGACACAGCACCTTCAGCCCCAGCAGCTCCAGTACCTCCAGTACGAGCACCTCCAGGACCAGCGACTCCAGCACCTCCTGTAGACAAAGGACCAGCACCACTCCCAGCTCCAATGACGCCAGCACGAGTACCTCCAGCAGCAGAGCCCCGAGCTCCAGAAGCGTGACCCTGACCCTGACCGTACCAGTGGTACAGCTGCTTTGAGGTGAGAGGCACACGCGCACGAAGGTAGCTACTCCAAGGAGACCGCGTAACAGAAGTCTCAAAACCCTAAGGCGTCGCACCCCCAGACTCAACACCCCCAGGCTCCTCACACACAGGCTCAGCACCCCAGACGCAGCACCCCCAGGTCAAGACCTCCAGGCTCCTCACGCACAGGCTCAGCACCTCCAGGCTCCGCACCCTCATGCTCCTCACGCCCAGGCTCAGTGCCCTCAGACTCTGCACCCCTAGTCTCAGCACCCCCACGCTCTGCACCCCCAAGCTCCGCACCCCCAAACTCTATACCCCCAGGGACAGCACCACCCCCAGCAGGAACTGAGTCAACAGTGACCTCAACAGGTGCAGGTACGGGAGGGTCTACCTGAGAGACACCTGAAGGAGCAGGACCTGGAGCGGGGAGGGGGTCTACCTGGGGAGGACCTGGGGTGAGAAAGAGTGGCGGGGGGGGGGCGAGGGGCAGTGCGGTAGGGAAAGAGATGGTAAAAGGAAACTGACTCGTCAAAGGTGACATCCTGAGACGGAAAGACATGGCGCGAGGCGGGGTCGTAAAACTGCCAGCCAGGCGCGTCAGGGACAAAGCCAAGGAAGACGCAGGGAATGGCGCGAGGGGAGAGCTTGTCCACGGTGGTATCGCGGACAAAGGCACGAGCACCCCAGACCCGGAAATGCGTCGCATCGCCAACCTTCCCCGTCCACAGCAGTGTGGGCGAGGTCTCCGGGAAGGAGACACGGGGCCAAAGGTTGAGCTGATGCGCGGCGTACCGGACCGTAAACGGCCACAGAAAATGGGGGCAGCCGCATGGATCATAGAGGTACGAGCGACCTCCATGACTAAGCCAATGCAGCGCTCAGCAACCCCATTCTGCTGCGGAGAGGCCGGAAGCGTGAACGTCTGGGGATGCCGTGCTCCGCACAGAAGGCTGCCAAGAGGTCTGAGGAGAACTCACCACCTCTGTCAGAGTGCAGACGCAGGACAGGAAAGTCTGACTGGAACCGCTCGCGGAGCTGGAGATGAACAACGCGGATCCAGGGGATCAAAACATCAGGGACCTCCCCCTTGCGCTGCAAGAAGAAGACCGTGGCGTAAAGCGTGTAGTCATGACGACCAGCAGGAAGTACCGCTTGTAGCCTGTCCACGGACGCGGGCTGGGCCCCACACATCTAGGTGGAGAGTCTGCAGTGGAGCCTCTGTGGGAGGGAACGAGGAGGAGTGAGGAGCGGCGCGCTGCTGCCCCTTGACGCAAGGAGTGCATGGCGGCGCAGTTGAGGGAGGGAGGGCAGGCAGAGACCTGGGAAGGCCAGAGACCAGGAAGCGAGAGTGCATGCTACGAAGGCGAGGTAGGGAGGGGTGACCAAGGCGGTGGTGCCACAGGAGAGTGTCGTGCGACAGTCGGCGATACTCACACTGGGTAGCTACCTGAGCAGACGCGTACACCTGGGGAGACAAAGAGGTGGAGCGCGACACAGTGGTGAGGGTGTACAAAATGGACCTAGGTGCACGTGTGAACGTGGCCAGGTGACGGCCGGTACGGGAGCACGTGCAGATCGCCACACGCTGTCCTCCAGGAGTAAAGGTGTCAACCAAGTGATCCTAAAGGACGGCGTTGCTCACCAAGTTAGTTAAGAACGAGGGGGGGTGGAGACCAAACAACTCACCAGACGGGACCGCCGGACACAGAAGCACAGTGGAAGACCGTGCAAGCACGGGGCCCCTAGAGGGGTCAGTCAGTGAGACAGGAACAGGTGCACGGAGGGGAGTGACTGTGGTGCTGTCGCGAAAGAAACAGCAGGAAGCACCAGAGTCAAGTGTGAAGGTGTGCAAGGCCTGTGCGGACGCAGTGCCAGGGGGAGCAGACTCACAAGCACCTAGTGCCACAGGCGCTATATCTGGGGCTATAGCAGTCACCCGAAGCACTAACATTCAATGCATACATGGCAGCAAGAATAGCCTCATACTCAAGATCAAAGATAGGTACATCATGCCTAAGCAGGTCTGCCCAGTTGGGGAACTCAGTAGCATCAAGAATCTTGACGCGCCAGGCGAGCAAAGCAGCGGTACTCAGTGTGAACCCTGTGCACTTCCGACCAGCGCGGGGACCTGTGCGAATGATATAAGGGCAGCGACCAGGACACCCAGACGCCCCACGCCCAGCATACCAGTCAAAAAGCTGCTGGGAAGTGGGGGTCTGGCGCTGACGCTGCTGCGGCTGCTGTTGCTCCTGCTGCTACTACTGCTACAGCTGTTGCTGCCCCTGGCCACCACTGGTGTCACCCAAGCCCCCACCACCACTGCCACCACCACTCCCCGCTCTGCCACCACCGCCGCCGCCACCGCCACTACTCCCGGCACCACTACCGTCCCCACCACCACCTTCACCCCCACGACCACCCCCACCACCTCCACCTCCCCCGCCACCTCCACCACCGCCCCCTCCACTGCCACGTCCGCCACCCCTGCCACTCTTGCCTCCCCTGGAGCCGTTGCGCTTCCCACTAGGAGCGGAAGCAGCTGCGACCTTCTCAGCACCAAGGAGGTCGACAGCAGCAGCTGCGGAGGCGTAAGAGGGGGTAAGAGGGGAGGGGGAGCACCCCTTAAAGAGGGGAGAGCGATGAGTACCATGAGCAGCACCTACAGCAAGGATGTTCTTCTCTGCTGCTAGAAGGGCGGCACGAAAGCGAGTGTCACTAGTGCGAAGGTGACAAATGAGGTCCTCAACAGTGGTAAACAAGGACAGGTCGGGGAACAGGTAGGGTAGCATGAGCCGACCTAGGGCTGCAGTGGCCGGGAGGGATTAGCGCGCAACTACAGCGTCGTACAGTGCCTTAGCAGTTTTGTGCTAGCTGAAATGCGCACGCTCAGTGATCGGTAGATGGTTCCTAATAGCTAGGCGTGCAGCATTATCGCGAGTCTGCCACTGTGAGTGTTCGAAAGAATAGCATCATCAGCAGGAGCAACGGCAATGCCAGACACGTAATCGAACGGTGAAACGCCGTCTTTGGCTTCGAACAGAAGGAACATTTGGAGATTGTCGAGCCACACAGCGAACTCGATCGGGCGACCGTCACGCTCAAACGCGAGAACATTAAGCGTTGCCATATCTCAGTGCAGGTAAAGCCAGTAGGCAAAGGCAGTAGGCAGTAGGCAGCAGGCTAAGGCAAAGGCAGCAGGCAGCAGGCAGTAGGTAGCAGGCAGCATGCAAAGCAAAAGCAAAGGCAGTAGGCAGCAGGCAACAGGCAAAGCAAAGGCAAAGGCAGTAGGCAGCAGGCAGCAGGCAAAGCAAAGGCAAAGGCAGTAGGAAGCAGGCATCAAACAGTAGGCAGTAGGCGGCTTGCAAAGGCAAAGGCAGCAAGCAGCAGGCAGTAGGCAGCAGGCAAAGGCAGTTCAGGCAGCGCGCGGGGCAGTAGCAGGCCACGCTTAGGCTACAGCAGCGGGCCGCGCACGGGCTTCTAAGGCAGCTCGCGGGGCAGCAGCAGGCCGGACGCGGGCTCCTACAGAGGCATGCAGGGCAGCAGTGGGCCACGCTGGCGACGAATGCGGCGCGCGAGGCCTAAGCAGGCGGCGCGCGGCGGCGGGCTACGTGTGAAAGAACGAGGAATGAATGAACTAGCAAGCAGGTGGGTACAAGTAGGAAACCCTAGAAATGTTGTACCCCATATAGTCTACCCCACTACAGCCTACACAGACTCTAGCATATGAGTTTGACACACCCCCATAGGCAAAGTGGGGGAGAACAAGAGGTCACAAGACCAGTCAAGCAAAGCAAAGCAAGCTCAGGGTGGATCACAACGTCACCACACAATCCGAGCACAAGAGCAAGGCCAAAAGGCCAGTTCACATGCAAGATCATATAGAAAGGTAAACAAGCAAGTGCAGGTATAGAAAGATCACAGTACAAGCAAGGTCAAGAAGTGAGCAAGTGAGGCCAAGTAGGCACAAGACCTAGCAACGTAGAGAAGCGCTGATGATCACAAGGCAGAAGTGCCTTGGTAAAGATATCAACAGTGTTGGCCTCAGAGGCCACATATGCAAGGCGCAGCTGACCACGCTGCTGCAGTTCATGAGCAAGGAAGTACCAAAGAGCAATGTGCTTCGTTCTGTGCTCCAGTATGCGTTCTCAACACAAGGCCAGCATGACCTTGTTGTCTACGGACAAAACTAGAGGAGAACGAGGCGGCTCTCCTAGGTCAGTCAGCAGGTAGGTGAGCCAGCGTAGCTCCTGTGCAGCCATGGCCCCCGCGTAGATCTCGGCCTCACAGCTGGAGCCGAGAACAGAAGACGAGCGGGTAGACCGCCATGAAAGAGAGCCGGAGCCAAGGCTGAAGCTGTAGCCCTATGACGACCGCTGCGTAGCCTGGTCGTCAGCCCAAGAATCGTCAGCGTGACCAGTCAGGACCACTCGACGTCGCCCTCCGAGCACTAGCCCCATGCCCAACGTACTGCACAAGTAGCGCAACACCCGCTTTGCTGCAGCCATGTGCTCCGGTCTGTGTCTCCCAGGAGCAACATAGCGTGTCAAGATGCTAAGAGGGTATGCAAGGTCAGGTCGAGTGCAGGTCATCAGGTACATGAGGCAGCCAACAAGCTCTGGGTACGAGCCACTCGGCTCTACGGACTCATCCGAAGGGAGAGCTGAGAGCGAGTGGCGAGTAGACAGAGGAGTGGCCTGAGGCGAGGAGTAGGTGAAGCCGAAGCGCCGAAGGACCTGCTGCACCATGTGTGACTGAGTCAGGGTAATGGTGCGCTGTGCTCTGTCCCGGGTGATCTGCAAGCCAAGGTAGCTGCGCAGTTCACCTAGGTCTGTGTACGTGTGTCTCTTCTGCAGCTCGGACTTCACGTGGGCGAGTCCAGCAGTGTCAGCAGTGGCAAAGACCAAGTTGTCGACGTACACGAGGATGTAGAACGGCGGCAAAGAGGTGTCGGTGCGCAGAAACAACGACGGGTCGGCAGTAGAAGGAGCAAACCCAAGAGCCGCAAGCGTAGTCCTCAGTGTGTCGTGCCACTCACGCGGTGCCTGGCGGAGACCGTAGACTGGCCGCCGGAGGCTCCACTGGGTACCAGGAGGAAACGACCCAGTGAAGCCAGGTGGGCGGCGCAGCCAGATCTCCTCATGCAGGCTGCCCTGTAGGAAAGCTGTGCTGAAGTCAAGAGAGTGAAGCTCGTAGTCGCGCTGAGCGGCTATGTGCAGCAGCACCCTGAGGAGATTAACTCTACAACGGTAGTGAGCTAGACTACAGGGGTTGGCACGAACTACTAGAGGTGATCTTAGCTTTGCTTGGTTCCTTAGAGCTTGCACATTCACGGAAGAATTTGGAAAATTTTCCACTAGCAAAGTTAGAATTCCAGAATGATTCAAGAAGCAATGACAACAATGACTACATCAGGCACATAGCAACCCTGCAGCTAGCCTGACCGACCGCCAATGCAGCTCGGTCGACCGCTTGCCAGCATTGCGTAGAGGAGTCGCGCCAGCATTGCAGAAGGGCGACCTGCCAACAAAGCAGGTTGACGGCGTGCCGCGTAGAACACAGCAGTGCGCGCGCTTGCAGGTGTGCGCAGACGATTGGCCCGACTTGCCTCGTTGGGCATCCGTCGGCTGTTGTCTGCGCCTCACGAGCCACATCGACTTCGGGATACGAGCTCGAAGTCGCCTGCGCCATCGCGATCTTGACGACGTTCGCGTGCCTCCGCAGAACTCGTTGAGTAGGTTACCCGGTCGACCTGGTCGACCCCTGGTGCTCTGGTCGACTCCCAGGTGCCTCCCGTCGACCACTGGGTCCCTCTGGTCAACCACCGGGTGCTCCTGTTCGACCACACCTCCCGTCAAGCTACCCCTTGGTCGACGGACCCGTCGGCGCGCCTTGAAGACACGCGTTTGAACCCGGCGGCCGCTTCACCCTGAAAATCCACATGCCACTGAGGATGTTCGCCCCAGGTGGGGGAACCTCGTCGACGTAGGTGCCTGTGGACTTCCAGGAAGCCATCTCTGCGTCCATGGTTGACTGCCACTAAGAGGAGTAGGGACCCTCGATCGCCTCAGCATACGATCGAGAAGTCGGGATGTCTGGTGCATCCGGGTCTCCCTCAGGGGCAATCAGCGTGGACACGAGATGAGGCAAAGCAACAGCAAAACACTGGAACTCCTCTTGCCTGTCCTCAATGACGTCCGTGCTAAGAGCACACTCACCCTCGATGGACGGAGGACAGACAGACTCAGACTCAGCAACAAGACTAGCAGCGTAGTCTAGACGAAAGCGAGAAAAAAGGTCAACAAGCTCTGCACCCAGGGCCGACGCAGCAGTGGACTCAAAGGAAGGGTCAGTGACAAAAGTGGCCAGGAGACGCGTGACAGTAGGACTGGCAGCACGAACAGAGTCAGACTCCGGGTCAGCAAGAACATGAAGAGAGGACTCTGGAGGAGACGGCAACGGGACACGCAGAGGAGCAGTGGAAGAACGCAGTGCCATCTGGTGTGTGCCTGGGATCGCACGAGGACGCGGACGCTAAGCACGACGGCTAGTGCGAGCCGCATGAATAAGCGACGCAGGACGAGACGCAGGCTCACGACGCTTATCAAGACCTCCAATAGGACCAGTGTAGGGAGAAGGAGCAGGTAGGGGGGAGGCGGGCTCTAACTGCAGACTCAGGACCAGACCTGGACGCTGCAGCTAACACCTGACTCGACGCACCTACCTGACCAGACTTAGCAGCCGGAGGAGACTCAGTAGTACGTGTGTACATGCTCGACCCCGATCGACGGGTGAACGTGGCCAAGTGTTGGCCTGTCCGAGCACACGTGTAGTGGGTCACCCGCTGACTAGCACGAGTAAACTAGTCAACCCCCCTATCCTGTAGGTGAGCTCCACTCACCAAGTTTGTTGAGAAAAAGGGGAGGTAGAGACCGGACAGGGTGCCAGAGATAGCTGCCGGGCACGATAAGACAGTGGAGAAGCTAGCAAGGACTCACCAGCACCTGGGGCAGCAGACGCACTAGCACCTAGAGCAGCAGCCTCACCAGCACCTAGAGCAGCAGCCTCGATGCCCGGGTCAGGCGAAACACACAGGTAACAGTCACCCTCATCACTAGTAGACACAGCATACATGGCAGCAAGAATAGCATCATAATCAAGATCAAAGATAGCAATCCCAGCCCTAGACAAAACGTCTCAGCAAGAGATCTTAGTGGCGTCAGGGAACTGGTGACGCCACGTGTCCGTCAAGCGGCCGAAGCAGCACTGGGTGCAGTGCGGGCCCTCGAACTGCTCACCAGCATGGTCGCCTGTACGGAGGACATAGGTGCAGGGACCAATACCCCCACCTCGCTGACGCCCAGCATACCACTCACAAAGCTGCTGAGGGGACAGGGTCTCACGACTGCGCTGCTACTACTGGCGCTGACCACCACCGGAGCCACTCCTCTGCACAGAGCCGCAACTAGCTCCACTGCTGTCGACGTCGCCTCCGCCACCTCTGTCGCCTCCGCCACCTCCGCCGCCTCCGCTCCCTCCGCCACCGCCGCCGCCTCCACCGCCTCCAGTGCTGCCACCGACACCTCCACCCCCGCCACCACTCCCACCACCACCCCCACCCCCTCCACTGCCTCCACCACCACCTCCACCACCCCCGCCAGCCCCTCCAGCGCCCTTGCCCCCCTTGCCCTTGCCGGTGCGGCGTCTCTCGCTAAGGGCAGACGCAGCGCCGACCGACTCGAAACCAACAAGGTCGGCCGCAGCAGTAGAAGCAACAGAGGGCAAGAGGGGGGAGGGGGAACACCCCTCAAAGACGGGGGTGCGAGGGTCACCACGAGAGGCTCCTGCAGCGACTATGCTCTTCTCTGCTGCTAGGAGGTGCTCCTCGAGGACGACAACTGTGAGTGTGGTGGGGCAAACTGAGAGGAAGTGGTCCCTGACTAAGCGAAGGGAGTTAGGGAGCCGGGTGACTATGTAGTAGAGGGCGATGTACATGGGGTGGGGGGTTCTTGGCGGAGAACTCAGCAGGTAGCGCAGCGCGGTAGCAAGTGTCACTAGTGCGAAGGTGTTTAATGAGGTCAGCGATTATGGGAAAGGAAGCAAGGTCAGGGAACAGGTACGGCAGCATGAGGCGGCTAAGCACAGAAGTGGCAGGGGAGGAGTAGCGTGCAACTACAGCGTGGTACAAGGTCTTAGCACTCTTGTACTGGCTAAAGTGTGCACGCCTAGTGGTCGGTAAGTGGCGACGCACAGCAAGGCGAGCAGCAGCATCGTGTGTAGCTCACTATGAGCAAACAGTGCTGTCAGCAGTTGCAGGCGGGGCAGGAGAGACACCAGAGGTGAGATCGAACAGAGAGAGTCCGTCTGCCCTATCGCACTGTAGGAGCAGCTGGAGGTCATCGACCCAGACCTCAAAGTCAACAGCACGACCCTCAGCATCGAAGGTAAGGACACTGGGGGTAGCCATAACAGCAGTGGTCTAGCAGGGAATGATCTCACCAGTCCGAGTAAGTGGGGCTGGGGCGCGTCAGTAGGAGCAATAAGGGCTCGACGGCAGGGCGGCTCGGCGGCTCGGCTGCTGGGCGGCTCGGCGGCTCAAGGGGTCGGTTGCTGGGCGGCTCGGCTGTTGGGCGGCTCGGCTGTCGAGCGGTTCGGCGGCTGAGTGGCTGGGCGGCTCGGCTGTAGGGCGGCTCGGCGGCTGAAGGGGCCGCTAGGGGCGGCAACGAGGCCGCGTAGGGAGGGGAGCGGCGACGTGGCCGCTAGGGGCGGCGAGGGGGGGCTGCATAAGTGAGAAGAAACGAGAACGGATGCATTGAGCAGAATGAGGAGTACAAGTAGTAAACCTATAAGTGTTGTACCCCATATGAACTGCCCCACTACAGCCTACACATACTATAGCATATATGCTTGACACACCCCCATAGGCAAAGTGGGGGAGAACAAGAGGTCACAAGACCAGTCAAGCAAAGCAAAGCAAGCTCAGGGTGGATCACAACGTCACCACACAGTCCGAGCACAAGAGCAAGGCCACAAGGCCAGTTCACATACAAGATCATATATATAAAAGTAAACAAGCAAGTGCAGGTATAGAAAGAGGACAGTACAAACAAGGTCAAGAAGTGAGCAAGTGAGGCCAAGTAGGCACAAGACCTAGCATAGTACATAAGCGCTGATCATCACAAAGCGGAAGGGCCTTGGTGAAGATATCAGCAGTGTTGGCCTCAAAGGCCACGTAGGTGAGGCGGAGCTGACCACGCTGCTGCAGCTCACGAGCCAGGAAGTAGTGGAGAGCAATGTGCTTCGTTCTGTGCTCCAGTCTGTGCTCCCGACACAAGGCCAGCATGGCCTTGTTGTCTACGTACAGAACTGGAGGAGAACGAGGCGGCTCTCCTATGTCAGTCAGCAGGTAGGTGAGCCAGCGTAGCTCCTGTGCAGCCATGGCCCCTTCGTAGATCTCAGCCTCACAGCTAGAGTTGAGAACAGAGGACGAGCGGGTAGACCGCCACAAAACAGAGCCGGAGCCAAGGCTGAAGGTGTAACCCTGTGACGGCCGCTGCAGAGCCTGGTCGTCAGCCCAAGAAGCGTCTGCGTGACCTGTAAGGACCACTCGACGTCGCCCTCCAAGCACTAGCCCCATGCCCGACGTACTGCACAAGTAGCGCAACACCCTCTTCGCTGCAGCCATGTGCTCTGGTCTCTGTCTCCCAGAAGCAACATAGCGTGCCAAGATGCTAAGAGGGTATGCAAGGTCAGGTCGAGTGCAGGTCATCAGGTACATGAGGCAGCCAACAAGCTCTGGGTACGGGCCACTCGGCTCTACGGACTCATCCGAAGGTAGAGCTGAGAGCGAGTGGCGAGTAGACAGAGGAGTGGCTTGAGGCGAGGAGTACGTGAAGCCGAAGCGCCGAAGGACCTGCTGCACCATGTGTGACTGAGTTAGGGTAATGGTGCGCTGTGCTCTGTTCCGGGTGATCTGCAAGCCAAAATAGCTCCGTAGTTTACCCAGGTCTGTGCAGGTGTGTCTCTTCTGCAGCTCGGACTTCACGTGGGCGAGTCCAGCAGTGTCAGCAGTGGCAAAGACCAAGTCGTCGACGTACACGAGGATGTAGAATGGCGGCTGAAAGGTGTCGGTGTGCACAAACAGCGACGGGTCAGCAGTAGAGGGAGCAAACCCAAGAGCCGCAAGCGTAGTCCTCAGTGTGTCGTGCCACTCGCGCGGTGCCTGGCGGAGACCGTAGACTGGCCGTCGGAGGCTCCACTAGGTACAAGGAGGAGACGACCTAGTGAAGCCAGGTGGGCGGCGCAACCAGATCTCCTTATGCGGGCTGCCCTGTAGGAAAGCTGTGCTGAAGTCAAGAGAGTGAAGCTCGTAGTCGCGCTGAGCGGCTATGTGCAGTAGTACCCGAAGAGTGGTCATCTTCAGGGTGGGAGAGAAGGTCTGAAAATAGTCAAATCTCTGCCACTAACTCATGCCTCGAGCCACGTAACGCGCCTTGAAGACACGCGTAGAACCCGGCGGCCGCTTCACCCTTAAAATCCACATGCCACTAACGATGTTCGCCCCACGTGGGGGAACCTCGTTGACGTAGGTGCTTGTGGACTTCCAGGAAGCCATCTCTGCGTCCATGGTCGACTGCCACTGAGAGGAGTAGGGACCCTCAATCGCCTCAGCATACGATCGAGGAGTCGGGATGTTTGGTGCATCCGGATGTCCCTCAGGGGCAATCAGCGCGGACATGAGATGGGGCAAAGCAGGAGCAAAGCACTGGAACTCCTCCTGCGTGTCCTCAAGGACGTCCGTGCTAAGAGCACACTCACCCTTGACGAATGGAGGACAGACAGACTCAGACTCAGCAACGGGACTAGCAGCGTAGTCTAGATGACAGCTAGGAGTGAAGTCAACAAGCTCAGCAACTAGGGCAGATGCAGTAGTGGACTCAAAGGAAGGGTCACTGACAACAGTAGCCAGGAGACGCGTGTTAGAAGGACTAGCAGCACGAAGAGAGTCAGACTCCGGGTCAGCAAGAGTAGGAAGAGAGGACTCTGGAGGAGACGGCAACGGGGCACGCAGAGGAGCAGTGGAAGGACACAGCACCATCTTGTGTGTGTCGGGGACCGGAAGAGGACGCGGACGCGCAGCACGACCGCTAGTGCGAGCAGCACGAACAGGCGACGCAGGACGAGACACAGGCGCACGAGGCTCAGCAAGACCTCCTGTAGGACCAGTCTAGGGAGAAGGAGCAGGTAGAGGAGAGGCGAGCTGTAACTGTAACTACGACTGGACAGGCTGTGGACACTCGAAGGGAGGAGCAGGACCAGGAGAGGGCCGGAGACCAAGAACCTGCTTCAGGAGCGGAACAAAGTATGGCCTCGGCCGCGCAGCGCCTCCAGAACCAGCAAGGATGGCACCAATACCCCCAGCGGCAGCACCAGCGCAAGCACTACCAACTCCAGTAGGAACGTCAGCTCTAGCAGCCTCAGCAGCACCCCCAGATGCACCAGCGCCCGTAGAAACACCAGCGCCAACACCCCAAGTAGCTCCAGCTCTAGCAGCACCAGCACCGCCAGTAGCTCCAGCAGGACCAACTGCCATAGCCCCAGCAGCTCCCCCAGTCCCAGCAGCACGTCTCCAGCGACGGGCAAACCACTCGCGCAGCTCCTGTGGAGACAGTGGCTCCCGCCTTGACGAAGCACCGCCGGTGGCCACACGAGCAGACCCAGCGTCCCAAGCTCCGCACCCCCAGGCTCCGCACCCCCAGGCTCAGCACCCCCATGCTGAGCACCCCCAGACCTAGCACCCCCAGGCTCAGCACCCCCATGCTGAGCACCCCCAGACCTAGCACCCCCAGGCTCAGCACCCCCAGTCTAGACACCCCCAAACTCAGCACCCCCAGACTCAGCACCTTTAGACCCGACACCCGTAGGCGCAGCACCTCTAGCACCACAAGAGTCAACAACTTCCTCGACAGACTCGACTGCGTCTACCTGGGACACACCTGATGGGGCAGGACCGTGAAGGGGGAGGGGGTCTACCGGGGGAGGACCTGGCGCAAGGAAGAGCGGCGGCGGGGGGAGGGGCGCAGTGCGGTAGGGGAAGAAACGATAGTAAGGCACTGACTCGTTAAAGGTGATGTCCTGGGAGGACATAACACGGCGCGAGGTGGGGTGGTAAAACTGCCACCCAGGCGCGTCAGGGGGGAAGCCAAGGAAGACGCAGGGAACAGCACGAGGGGACAGCTTGTCCGCAGACAAGTCGCGGACAAACGCCCGAGATCCCCAGACCGGAAATGCAGACGCATCGCCAACCTTCCCGATCCACCGCAAGGCGGGGGAGGTCTCTGGCAAGGAGACCCGGGGCTGAAGGTTGAGCTGATGCGCTGCGTACTGAACTGCAAACGGCCACAGAAAATGGGGGGCAGCCGCATGGATCATGGACGTACAAGCGACGTCCATGACCATGCCAATGCGGCGCTCAACAATCCCACTTTGCTGTGGAGAGGCCGGAATCGTGAAGGTCTGGCGGATGCCCCGTGCACGACAGAAGGCTCCCAGACGGGCAGAGGAAAAGTCTCCGCCTCTGACAGAGTGCAGACGCAGAACAGGAAAGTCCGAGCCGAAACTCTCCCTGAGCTGGAGACGAGCTGCGCGGATCCAGTCGATCAACACCTCAGTGACGTCACCCTTGCTGCGCAAGGGGAAGACTGTGGTGTAACGCGAGTAGTTGTCAACCACCAGTAGGAAGTACCGCTCGTGCCCCTGCCCACGGACGCGGGCGGGGCCCCACACGTCCATGTGGAGGGTCTGTAGCGGAGCCTCTGTCGGAGGAAACTCGGAGGAGTGAGGGGCGGCGCGCTCTCGCCCCTCAACAAAGGGGACGCAAGTAGGGCCACGCCCCGGAGGTAGGGGAGGGAGAGACCAAGGGAGACCAGAGACAAGGACACGGGAGGCCATGCCTCGGAGACGAGGCAGGGAGGGGTGACCAAGGCGGTGGTGAC